ATTAGTAGCTTTTAGGTTCCCATTTGAGATTTAACTTATATATACCTGACAACATTCAAATCTCATCTCATGATAAAAGCAGAGAAACTGAAGTGTTGCTTTAAGTAGGACACTTTCACTTGGAAATGCAAATCTTTTGGCTTTCTGATGTAGCTCAAGATTCTGCTTATTACTAATGGAAAACAGTGTGTCATGCTTTGGCATTTGCTTTGACAAGCACAATATCAGAGCATATTAGGAAGAAATATTTTATTTTGTTTCAACTAACCTATTTCATGGATACATTAAAAATATTGTAGATACAACAAGAATGTAAAAAAATGAGCAATAGTGCCCTGGCCCCTGTGGCTCCAGTAAACTGAAAGGTTGTGGGTTCAATTCCTGGTCAGGGCACATACCCAGATTGTGGGTTTGATCCCAGGTTAGGCATGTATGGGAGGCAATCCATCCAATCCCCTCTCTCTCTCTCTCTCTCTCTCTCTCTCTCTCTCTCTCTCTCTTTTTCTCTCTCTCCTTTTCTCTCTCTACATACTCAATAAAAACATGTCCTCAGGTGAGGATTTAGGATAAAAAAAGCTTCAGATAGCAATTTCTACCGTGTTTTCCCAAAAATAAGAAATCCTCTGAAAATAAGACCTAGCGCATAGAAAGATAAGACATCCCCTGAAAATAAGACCTAGCGCAACTTTGGGAGAAAAAATTAATATAAGACACTGTCTTATTTTTGGGGAAACAGGGTAGTAAGGAATGGTCATGAATAAAAATAAAGTAGAACAAGGTGCCTTATTATTTCCTTCCTTCATTTGGAATTCAAGTACACATATGAATGAAATGCTGGTTTCAAATAAAATCTATTTACAACCAGATTACTGAGCCCTCGTGGCAATAAAACATTGATAATATGTGGAGTGTTCTAAAGAAGTGTGTAATTTCTGGTTTGGGCAGGTAGGGCATAGTCACTGAGCGTGGAGACACCACTTCTGCACTGACACCTGAAGATGACTGTGTCTGATTTTATCTGCTTTAACATGTTGGAACAATGGCCCTGGATGTTGCCTCTTCTCTCTGCAGTATTGTTTTGACCACTGCAGCCAGCATCTATCCGGGTCTAGCTCAGAGAATCTGGAGAATTCTTATTTAATTTTTTTAGGTTAGGTGTTTTATACATTCTTCTTGGCTAGAAGCAGATTATTACCGGGCAATATTCACAATAAAGAAGAATAATCTGCCGAAGCCGGTTTGGCTCAATGGATTGAGCATCAGTCTGTGGACTTAAAGGTCCCAGGTTCAATTCCAGTCAAGGACATGTACATTGGTTGCGGGAATATCCCTGGTAGAGAATGTGCAGGAGGCAGCTGGTCAATGTTTCTAGCTCTCTATCCTTCTCCCTTCCTCTCTGTAAAAAAAATCAATAACATATATATTTTTAAAAGAATAATCAGGGAATAAATATATCGTTCTCTTTTTACACCCCCTACTCCTTCCCTCCAAAAAGAAAAAACAAGTTAAGTTTATCTTTGTTTACTTCTGACAATAATTCAAATCATGTAATATTAGGTGCTGGAAATATAATGATGAACAGGAATGTCAAGATCTTACTAAAAAAGCTCTCTTACTCTCGCCAGAGGAGACAGATGCTGGAACATGCAATTCTGATGCTGTGTACTGAAGGACATGAGGATGGGTAGCTCTGGTGCGGACAGGGCACATAGCAGGAACATCTGCACTCCCCCCGGTGGGTCAGAAGGCTTCCTGGGAGAAGTGTCTCACATGGAACTGGAAAAGTAAGCAGCAGATAAGCTACATGTAGATGGGGTAGAATAGAGTCTGAGAGAAAGGACTAGGGAGAAAAAAGAGCATGAAGTTAAATATTGCTTTGTGGGGAGGAGAGGTCAGAAGGAGTGGGAACAGAGGCTAGGAAGGGGAGGCCAGGTATGGAAGGGCCTCATATCCTACGTGAAAAAATTTAAACTTAAGTGAAGCAGTTAGAAGGTTTTACAGTGATCTATTTTAAGCCTGTGTTTTGACTATATGTTAGCATTATGAATGAAATAGCTAACTTTTTTCCTGATTCCCACACCCCCCCCCCCAACTATTTTAGGTATTATAAAATATGCAGAGATTCGGATGTAAGGATTTATACAGTATATTTCTCCTGGAATTCAATGTGAGAAAAACTTTACAACAAAATGTTTATACATACTCCTATTAGGAAGTCAGAACTGGGGGACTCAGTGATTTTGCTTATAGGAAGCTTTCCTTTAAGGTGTCAAGTACATATTCTCTTAAGTCTTTCATCTCATTTTTATTTTCTTGTTGAAAAACTGTTCTGATATTACTAACTGTCCAGAATTTTTTCTAGAAGTAAATGGGCAAAAATCATAACTATATCTTAAAATAGAATCATCATTTGAAGTTCCTAAGTTTTCCATTTTAACCCATAATTTTAGATCATATTTTCATAAGGAGAATTCTTTGATCAAGACAGAAATCCTAGCAAAAAGGAAAATCATGCTTTGAAGTTTAAGTATAGCCAATTGGCTCGGCCAGTATTGCTCAGTGGTTTAGTGTCAACCTATGAACCAGGAGGTCACAGTGCAACTCGCAGTCAGGGCACATGCTTGGGATTCGGGCTCCATCTTCAGTGGGGGCCATGCAGAAGGCAGCTAATCAATGATTTTCCCTTATCATTGACGTTTCTAACTCTCTCTTCCTCTCTGAAATAAATAAAAATATATTAAAAATAAATATAACCAATAGCTAATTATTCTTTACTGCTGTGGGAATTACTAACTAGTTAATTGAGAGCCCAGAAAAATAGGTAGGTAGGTACACAGATAGACACAGAGATACACAGAGAGCTATCTGAAATATATCATGAATATCAGCATACTGTCTTTTTTCCAACATTTGGACTCTATGTATGTGTAATCATATATGCACAATCTTATATTTATATATACATCAAATATAGCAGGGGCTTTAGATACCTTATTTGTTCATACACCATGAATGTATGTATGTCCCACCCTGCTCCCCAAAGGATTGATATTAACACGCAGGCAACAGGTGAAGTAAATCGGCAAGTTCCAGTCCCCTAAATACCACAGATTCAAACAAGCTGACAAAATGGGAAAGGAGATCCCATAAATTATCAAGACTGAGACAGAGGGTGGGGCAAGAATTTGTTCCCTGGTCCCGCCTATCTGCTTTGGACATGAATAGATCTCACTCTTTAGTTTCAACATGGGAATAGCAGATAGGCAAGATATGCAAAATACTTGGAGCTGGACCAAAAGGATAGGAGAGTTAAGAGACCATGTATTTCCTGAGGTGCTGTGCATATAAGCTTTTAATAGGTTTATGTCAAAAATTGAGAGAAAATTAAGAGATTTAATATTTTAATTAAACTAAATATGGAGCACAAGAAAACAGATGCAACTTTTTACTCAACCACACACTTCGCATCTTCAGTTAACATTCAGTAACTTTTAAATACCAACTTGAATATATTACATTTAAATATTTTATTGTTTGTAGACAGTGTTATAGCAACATGATTAATTCCTTTCCTTCTTCAAAAAAACTATAATGAATTATTCTTTCAACTCAAGATTTTACAATAGCATGACAAGACTATTTTTAAAATCTAAAAAATAAATGCAGCTTTTATTTACGTCTATTTTTAAAGGAGCTAAAACGATGATCCTCTTTTCTAAGTAATATATTTCAGAAAGCCATAGAACATTCTTCAATATCACAGTGATAATTATAAGAAAGAATAGAATTCATCTTATGTCATTTACTACACACTGCCCCTCTTGCCCCCAGATCATACTAAATGCATCCTCCTGAATTTAATTTCAAGTCTCTGCAAAGGATATAGTCTTAAGAAATCAGAAAGGAATTAAAGCTCCAATTCATAGAACATCATTTTCTCATATGTGAACAGTTGGAGACCACATACTAACACCACTCCTTTAATTTAATATTCTGAAGAAGCAACATCTGGAAGAGAAATAGTAGACAGGAGGCAGTGTGATACCAAATTACATTAAACAATATAATTACCCTTAGTCTTCATAGCATGCTTTTTAAAATTTCATAGATTTTTATAAGATATGAAATGAAAACTCTCAATTGTCCAAGAGGTAGATGATGACCTCATTTTCCAAATGGAAAACTGAGGCACTGATAGGCCTTACCATAGGCTGCAAACATGGTTAGTAGCAGAATCAAAACTGGAAGCATGTGGAACATGGCTGCCTCACACCTGCCAATGGGATGGCAGGAATAATGTTGGTTCCCCCGCATTGCCTGTGTTCCATCTTATTCTATGACAAGCATAGCTCTGGAACCCTGAGACTCCATTTAAAGTTGAAGCTGCACATCTAATCTCCAAAGGCAAGCTTGTGAGAGCAACATGAGGAGCGGTTATTTATGGCAGCATCCTCAGACCCAGGAATGTGGACTATGTTGAAACATAGGATATATTTCAATAAATGAGAACAAGACATGAAAAACAAAATTAAAGGACAAGTAATGCAATAATGAAAATGACAACTTCAGTTCACTATTTCCACTGTTATTCCACAAAGAGATGAATAGGAGTACAATTAAAAATAATTTTTCAAACAACTGGATTTGAAATTTGACTCACTTCTCTATGCTATGAGCCTTGATCTGCATGCTCCTAAATTAGGAAGGAACAAACACAGCACAATTTCGCTATTTTATATCGAACCCAACTCTCTCTAGAATACAAAAATAATGTACCCTTATCCAAGGCAAATAATTTTCTAAGCTCCTCAAATAGATTAAAGTACTAAAGAAAACTGGATTATTTTATTTCATTGAACTGTGGTATTAGCCAAACAAGCAGTATGGCCAGGAAGGAGATCCAGTTGGTGGGGGATGCTTTGTGGGAAATGCAGGAAAATAAACAACAGTATTGTCCTTTAGGCTTGTGAGAATGACGTCCATGGGTGCCAACGCCACAGTTACTGTCTGAGCAGCCAGTACACGAACGACACACTCACATAGATGACGCACAGCATTATCCAGTTTATCCTTGTGATGGGCGGCCTGTGGTTACCTGTCACGTGGAGGATGACATTGGAAGAGAGAATGCCACTAGCGTTTTGGGCCCGTGCCACATAGAGGCCTGCGTCTGCCCGGCATACCTTTGGAATGAACACCGCGTGTCTTGTCTCCTTGTGCAAAACCTGTAAGTGTCCATCGGCAGGCAATTTCTGGCCCTTCTTGTACCTGAAGCAGAGAGTCGGTTTTTAAAATCAGGGTCACTGTTTATTCACATTATATCCAATTTCTAAAATCCATCACCACGGCAATGGTGATGGATGTTAGATCATCTGTTTATTCACAACATATCCAATTTCTAGTAGGAGCAGGGGCTTTGCAGCTACCACAGATTCCAAAGGGGCAGTGGTAGCTGGTGGCCAGAGAAGTGCCTGATAGCCTCAAACCATGTTTTTAAAAGCCAAATTTTTTTTTACAGCAATTAACAATTGGAATGTTGCATATGAAAATTTAGATACCCAACTACTCCCAAAAAAGCAGACCATCTGGTCACACTGGGGCTCCATTTGCTCATAGCAATTATCTAGAATGGGAAATGGTACCCTCCTATTCGGCCCCCCTCATTCTTCCAGCTGCGATGGAACAGCAGTTTGTGGCATCTGGAACCTATATTGGAGTGACCTTCATCTGCTCCATTATATTCATCCCATATGACCCACGTGAAAATAGCAATGTGCAAAAAAAAAAAAAAAAAGAAAAGAAAAAAAAGAAAGAAAGAAAGAAAATACCAATGTGCTGTGAGGAAGGTACTTATATAGCATTTCCTAGAGAAATGAGTTCATTTCATTAATGAATGAATCTCATTAGAAGAAAATTGTTTTTAATTATAAAAGGCATTTATACAATCGGATTATTACTATTAATGACATATTTCTAAAAGTTTCCTATGAACATGAGCACTTAGCGGCATATTTTTCTAAAGCAAATAATTTGTATGTTTTGTATATTCTAGATTCTTTACTTATCAATACCCACATTCTTCTACACAGGAAGTGATGACAAACCTGAATTGTTTTCTGTTCTCATGGCTTCAGTGATAATTTTGCATTTTTCCAAGAAACCTAAAAATGTATGATAGCTCACCAGTTGTTAATGGAGAAAAAATTGCAAATCTGAGGGTAAAATGTTTTCTCACAATAGTCCTTCAGTATTATACTAGGTGTACCAGTTAATAATGTGGAGTTTTTTCAATAGATGGGAGTTACGCATATGTTGATATATATATTTGATATGTATGCTATTTGGTTGTATTGTATGCTATTTGGTTGTATTGACAGCAAGCTTCAAAACTTCATATGTCAAATTTGCTGAAGGTGTTAACATCATAGATATTTTTTAATGCTTAAAAATGTTGAATTTCATGCCCAAAAGAAGAGCATTGGTGGGAAGTTTTAATTCATTACTTTATTTTGAAGAAAAAGGTGACATATACTTTGGCAGGAAGCTTATGGTGAACATGCTCCATCTCAAGATACTTGTGAAAGGTGGTTTAAATATTTTATAAGTGATGATTTCAATGTGAACTACAAAGTACATCCAGGTCAACCAAAAAAGTTTGAAGACCAACAACTGCAAGCATTAATGGATGAAGATGTGTGTCAAACTCAAAAACAATTTCCGATCATTTACAAGCAATGGAAAAGAATTTAAAGGAAGAAAAATGGGTGCCAATCAACTGAATGAAAGACAAATGGAAAACTGAAAAGTCATCAGTAAAACGTTGCTTCAATGGCACGGAAGAAAGTCTTTTTTGCATTGAATTGTGACTGGCAATGAAAAATGAATTTACATTGAGAATCCCAAATGTACAAAATCATGGGTTGATCCAGGTCAGTCCTCAACATCGACTTCAAGGCCAAAATCACTTCAGAAAGAAGACAATGCTCTGTGTTTGGTGGGATCAGGAAGGTGTGGTGTATTATGAGCTTCTAAAACCATGTGAAACAGTTAATACTGCTCGCTACCAACAACAAATAATTAATTTGAACCACGCTTTCATCGTGAAACAACCAGAATGTTCCAGAAGACACAGCGAAGTAATTTTGCTTCATGATGATGCACCATCACACACTTCAAAACCAGTTAAAGCACTTTAAAAGATCTTGCCTGGGAAATATTAACCCACCCGCCGTATTCACCAGACCTTGCTCCTTCAATTACCACTTGTTCTGATCGATGGCACAGGTACTTTCTGAGCAGCACTTTAAAACATACAAATAAGTGGGAAATTGGATCTCTGAATGGTTTGCCTCAAAAGAAGAAAAGTTCTATTGGAACAGTATCTAAAAATTACCTGAAGGTGGGAAAATGTGTAGCTAGCGATGGACATTACTTTAAATAAAGCACTTTTGATGTTTCTCTTGAAATTAGCTTGTTTTCTTTGATTTCAAATTCATCATTATTGACCACTATACCTAGTAGTTGTAATAGTTCTTCAAGAATATGTACTAATCAAATTATTTGTTATGTGGACAAAAATAAGAAACACTTCAGACATTTTTCTTTGGGGTAAACTGATATTTAATGATGAATTAAATATCTTTTAAATTCATAAATATTAAATTCCTGATCTGTAAAAAACCATGCAATTGTAAAAATAACAAAATAAAGCAAAAAGCACAAAAGCAGCACTGTAGCACAAGTGCAATTTTTTTTTTTAATAATCTGAGAAACCAAAGTTTTCTCATAAATTCTTTAATTAACTGACACTTCAAGTACCACAGTGGGCACACACAATTACTGAAACCGATCGCTTAATACCGACTGAAACATTACGATAAATACATGTTATTTTACTTATTGTATTTTAGAAACATGAGCTCGTACCCACAAATGTATACTTTTGTCCTCAAATAAATATGTTTAAGGTTGAACATTTTCTAAAATGTTCAAAAGTAACCCAAGTATTGAGAACGTTACAATTGCTTTCATAGCAACAGGATGTGATTCAAAATCTGTATTCTGCAGTTTACTCCTATTAAAACAAATAGGCTAAAAAATAATAATGTCTTCAGAGTGAAATCACATTGTTTACAGCTCAGTTATTGCGCCACCTTTCAAAAATGGGTTTATTGCCTGTCGCTGCAAGTAACTGTGAATGAAATATTTTTTTATCCCACCTCTCACACTGAAGAAATGAATAAAAAGAAATCTTAGTGAAACAAACAAGGATTGCAAAAGTGACCATAGTGACTGCTGGGAAGAGAAAGAGGTTGAGATAGGCAAATGAAAGAAAAGGGGAAACCAGGTTCTTACGTGTCTTTTTTTTTCTTTCAATTGAATAAGGGATGTTAAACCAAGAAAATGTCATGCTTATGCAAAAATAAACAACAAGAAAGCATTTCAACTCACCATCTTTAGAAACGTGGAATGTTAAATGGATACAAGAGCACAGTGAAGTCACAGTGCTTTTGTAGTTTGTTATTATTTTATATGGCTACTTTTTTTTTGCTTCAGGGGTTAGCATGCAGCTCCTAAGATGAGAGTTGGGGGTTGGTGTGAGGGTGCATCATGCAGAGGTGCGGGGCTGGTGACTGTTAATCAGCTCCCCCTGCACCTGTAAGTTAGTGCCCACAGAGATTCCCTCAGTGATTCAATTAGTTTCTGGTGAAGGCTCGTCGTTATAGGCTACCCACCATGTCAGTGTAGGCTCTGGAAATCCTGTTACTTCAACTTCCAAAGTCACTGGAGAACCTTCCACGACAGTGACATTAGACTGGAGCCGGGAGAAACTGGGTGCCTGGCCAGCGAGGCTGACCACGCTGTTCTTGGCTGACGTACTTTTCATCTCTTCCTGGGAAACCACTTGCCTCTGATGGACCCGGCTGGGGCCTAATTGAAAGCCGAGGCCCGAGGGCGCGTCCTGGGAAGCATGCAGCCTGTCTCGGTGTTTAGTGCCGTTATTAGCAGCATGCATCTCCTCCCGTGTTTCTAGCACACTCTCCCGAGCCCGCGGGTGCTGCTGGCAAGCTCCCTCATGCACTCCACTCGGCATGCTCCCAGGATGGTCAGCATGGGTTTTGCAGATGGCTGTGCTCTGTTCCAGAAACCCTCTGCAGGGGATTGGGGGCTCAGCTTTGAACTGGGGGGAAGGCTTCTCAAAATGACTTGAAAATGTGTCTCTCTCATCATTGCAAGTATCAGCAAAAGCAGCAGGTGGAGGAAGGCCACGGTCCTGGGCCTCCCCTGGCCTCCTGGCCTCCATCTGCATCCTGTGGCTGCTCACGTGAAGGCTGAGAGAGGGGCTGGCGTGTTCTTCTACCTCCATGTCGGACAGTGCGAGGGGGGAGTCGGGGCTCCCTGGCAGTGGAGGCAAGGAGATGTCGTCGGGTGAGACACACTCGTGTTCTTCCGCAGGAAGCGTGTCCGCAGGCAGGGGCAGGCCTGGGGCGCCGCTCTCTTGGCCAGAGGAGAGCCGCGGCAGGTCCTGGGGTAGCGGAGCCTCACCTGCGCCATCGACGGGCAGAATTCCTGCCCCCTGCACCTGCTCCTTCAGAACAGACAAGCCAAAGCTCTCGGTTAGTCATTGGATTTCCTTTTCCAGGCCTCAAACTCAACTTCAGAGAGAAGATTTGAGAAAACCCACAGGGGGTAACGCAGGCCCTGGCCCAGACATGAGAGAACTTAAAACCACTTGTCTGTCTGAACTGGGCACAGTCCCACCCATGGCTGAGGAATCGGTAAACTGACTTCCCTTCTCCGAGTGAAGCGTGATAAACCTGGAGAGAGAGCAGCCCAGTTATCATCTCTAATGACTCGCTCGGACTGGATAAATGTCTTTTCAAATCATGACCTGAGGAGCCTCCTTTCACCAGCAAATTCTGTGTGAACCCCGTTCCTACACCAGGAACCCAGTTCCTACATCAGAGGCACCCGTGAGGTGAGCTCTGAGACTCCATTAGAATAGCCCCCCTCCTTCCTCAGGAAGTCATTCTTTTCATTTTTTTATTATGGCAAAATACACAGAACATAAATTTTACCATTTTAATTATTTTTAGGTGTACAGTTAAATGGCAGTAAATTCATATTATTTGTGCAACCATCGCACCAACCAACTCGTGCACTTTTTCATCTTTTCAAAGTGAATCCCAGAAACCCTTTAAAGTCTCCCTTTTCTCTCCCGCCAGCACCTTCCACTGTCTGTCTCTGTGAATTTCACAACTCTAGATACTTAGTCATTTTTGATTACTGGGTTTATTTTCTTAAAGCCCCTTAGTATTATTCTCACATTGAGAAATATCTACGGAGAAAGAGCCTGTGATAGACCAGGTACTGTGCTAGGCAGGGGAGAGATGGAGTGGTGAGTAAAAGGAGATACAGCCTCTGCCCCTTGGAGATGACAGCCTGGTGGGGAATGTAGACATCAATGGAACCATTGCACCTACAGACCTTTCACAATGAAACACACCGAGATGCAATAGAGGAACACCTGCCACTCACCTTTTTGACCCAGGTGGGAACATAAGTTGTGACAGTCATCACCTACGGCTCACATTGTTCCATTACTCCTCCCCACGGAATCCACGTCTATCTCTGGGTTGAGGAGTCCTTGGGCACAGACTCAAAGAAGCAGTGAAGCTGCAAGGGACCCACCTATCCCAAGCAGTTTATTGGACACAGGATTCTTTCTTCGCTTTTCCTCAGCACCTTGGAGGCATGTTTTACTTAATTAACAATGACTGGTTTTTGTTCCAAGGCTAAGGCTTGCACATAAGAAACGTTTGTCTTGCCTTGATCTTGAATTCTGTTTTCGCACATAGTCCTGCTCCTGACATACTTTATAAGTGATTTTTTTAGAAAGAAGTAAAGTGGTTCTGAAGCTTAAAAGTAAAAATAAAACAATCTCCTATTATGAGCCTACAGACATGACTTGTTTGAAGAGAAACCATAAACCCAGCTTGGAGAAAGTGGTTTTCTTCAGCCATTTAAGAGAAGTTTGCATTTTGGGTCTAAGTGAGTTCTTAAAAGTCCCTCTAATTAAAAAATAAATAAATAAATAAACAAACACATACCCAGTAGGTAATGCCTTCCCTTTTTTTGTTTGTTTTCCAACTACACCTTAGCTCTGCCTCTTTTTATCTTTTCCTGAAAGTAGGATTCCCGTCTCCCCACTTTTCTTAGAGACATTGATCCAACTTCCCATTCAGTCTAAAAATCTTCTCTATGCCATCTGGCAGCCTCTGTTTGCACACTTTTCCTGAAGGGTGCTTTCTTTGAAGGTACTTCTATGCTTTACTTGTCTTAAGAATCTCTTTCTATACTTAGCAAAGAGCTGCCTTCTCTCAGTACCCACCAATGGATCTGCACAGCCTGTTGGAGTAACAGAGATGTCCATCTGCTCTCCTCTTAAAACAGCATTTACTGTTGGGAGAACGGGTCCCGCAGCCCCTCAGTCTCTGTCTTTGTACTAAAAACCCAAGTCTTCTTCTGCCTGGACTCCTGGAACTTCCATCATCCTGGCCGCCTTCTGGAGGTCCTGGTCCCACTGCTGTGACCTGCTTCACAGGGAAGCAGAGACATTTATTGATCTAAGGATCACCCATGAGCAGGCAGCCCTTTAATGACTCCTTGGAGTAAACGTTGGCTCTCCAGAAACAAATAGTATTTTTTAAAAAATATATTTTATTGATTTTTCACAGAGAGGAGGAGAGAGGGATAGAGAGTTAGAAACATCGATGAGAGAGAATCATCGATTAGCTGCCTCTTGCACACCCCCTACTGGGGATGTGCCTGCAACCACGGTACATGCCCTTGACCTGAATCGAACCCAGGACCTTTCAGTCCGCAGGCCAATGCTCTACCACTGAGCCAAACCGGTCCCGGCAACAAATAGTATTTTTAAAATGTGTGAAAAATTTCAAAAAATTTAGAAGAGAAACTAGGATGAAAGCCCAGGCTATTCTCCCCACTCCTCACTCTCTCCTGGAGAGGAACTGGCTTACCTAATTTAGTAGAAAAGACACACTAATTGCAGCCCTCTCTTTGATGTTCTTTATCTCAGATCTGCCTTCCTCCAAATGGGTACATTTGCATTGGCTATAAGGCATGAAAAACCCCTGGACAGGAAGCCTGTGGTTGTCTAGCTATGCACCCAAGTGTCTGTGTAGACAAAAATGTCTAAATCAGAGATGAAGTTTTGGGAAACCCTCTAGATAAGTCCCAGTTGTGTCCTCCAATCCAACTTTTCCTCCTTATTGATTCCTGACTGCTGAGTCTCACTTTCAGACTGTGCCAAACTCAAAAAGGCAATCCAAGAATATTATTTTTCACTCCCTACAACTCCTAAAGCATAGAAAATACTTTCTGCAGAAAATAACACTACTGGATAACTTCTGGCAATAAGAGAAAGATAGTTTTCTCAAATCTTTTTGTTTAGAAACTTCTCAACTGATTAATATTCCCTCTAAATATGTTTATTTCCAGGATGCATTTACTTTCCAGAATGGGAAGCAACCACATTATCTCTTTGATCTATTTATGTTTTTATCGAAGTGATTGTACTATTTTTGTTTTTATAAGGACACATGGGATTATGAATTTATACTTAGTTTTTATTTTATTTTTTAAATTTTATTTTATGATTTAAGGTATTACATATAGTTGTTCATATATATATATATATATATATATATATATATGTCCTTTTTTCCCCCATTGACCTTCCCCCAGCCTCTCCTACCTCCTGTCAGATGTCCTCATCCCATCCCCCATCCCAGTGTCTTGTGTCCATTGATTGTGCTTATATGCATGCATACAAGTCTATACCGAGTTTTTAAACCACTAAAATCTTGTTGAACACTGCATAGGTTAGGACAAAGCCAGATGTCTCCCCCTGGCAAGGAAAGCTGTCTTCCAGGGTGACATTGATGAACTACTTGACACTCTTGGGAACAATTATCACCAGACCAAACTCTCATTCAGCTCACATTTTCCCACTTAAGAGAGATAACATGAGTGTTACCAAATGACTTCCTAAATCCATAATAAATTTTGCCAATGGCACTAATTTAGAATTTCCCAGTAAATAATCATCTCAGAAAGCAAAATGAGTTTAATACAAGTTTTTCTGAGCAAATTATGTTGGTTTTTGGCATTTCTGCCTTAATTTCGAATGCAAATAAGTTTTCAGTTTTTAAATCATTATGGAATTTTATAAACATTCCTTCTAAATCTCACTGAGTTATACATTCCTGGATCTACTAGTTTTCCTTTATGATATGGTTCCCCAACATTCAGGAACCATTATTCATGTACACAAACTATTTTTTCTTATTTTCCCACCATGAAACTGTGTGTTTTTTTCTGACAGTAGAAACAGTGTGTGTGTACATGTGTGAATTTCTAGAAAAAGGTAGTTAATCTATCTATTTCAGCACAGATAGGACGTATGTGCATCACTCTGATTGATTCTGACAAAAAGGACTGGACAATTGATCTAATTCACTATAACACATCCCATTCTCAATGTGTTTCTCTGACAGCCTTGGTTGCTCTTTGTCTTTTTTGTTGATTTCCTTCTCTTTTCCCAACTTCTAAATATATGAATAACAAATGATCTTGTCTTTATGTTCTGTAATATTCTCTCTATATTTTCCCCTCACCCACTTTCATATCTGCTGACCAGATAACTTTTATTTAATAACCCTAAATCAATAGCCTCAGATCTTTCATCAGCATTTCTGAACTTTTATTTCCATTGATGAACATAACCACTTGGATTTCCAATCATTGCCAAACAAAATGAATACAGAATACAATGATAATCTACATCCACCAAACTAAGAGTAGAATACCAATCCTCAAAGTACATAGAGGAGGAAGCCATCTCTGGGTAAATTTAAGGAAACACCGCAATACTTTAATTTCCAAAATATCTCAGTCTTATCTTGAGCTAAGTACAATCAAATGAAGCTAAGTAAGAAGTGGTTAAAAAAAAAAAAAAAAAGACATTTAACAAAGAGCTTTGCCTATGAAAGGCATTTCTGGGAATTTGAAAGAGGCTTTGGGCAGCCAAGGAGTTGAGTTGGCACCTTTGGGTACTTAGAGTGAACAAGTAAAAAAGAACTGAAGGTGATGAACAACACTTTGTCTTCTTCCCAAAAATTTCCAAAGAAAATGTCTCCAGATTATTTCCCTCTGCCTACCTAGGGATCAGGATTAGAGGATGAGGGCCAGGGAGTGCCTCAGGCAGGCTGATAAGATCACTCCACTGTACTGATTGCTATAAAAGTGATTCCATGCTACTGCTTTATTAACAGATGAATGCAAAGAGGGGAAAGGTTTGGCATAGGAATCTACAGTATCATTACAAATCTACAGCTCATTTATATGCAGCGGTTTCTTGGAGCTTCCTCTGGTCTTGTAGAAAGAGTTACATGGCTGAAGTTCAGAACTGGGCTGCCTGCCCAGTGCTGACTCTGCTGTGATTTTTGGAGGGCAAGATATATCATCTCTTTTGGCCTCAGTTTCCTCAACTGTAAAGTGAGATTTGATCAGATAATTGTTAATTTCCTTCTAGCACTGGAATTCTGTAACTCTAATTGCTGGCATCGCAAGCCTTCATCTTCTAGTGAACAGTTCTGTGACTTTAGGCGAGACTCCATTTAACCTTAGGAGTTTTCACATATTATTGTGGGTTTAGCTCCGGTCTTCACTTTGGGGTTAAAATACCATCACTAATCTGTTAGCAGTGCAATGAGCATTACATTTACTGAATTGCCCAATTCCACCTGCTGCATTTTTGGGTCAGAAAAATGAGAAGCACTTTACTATCTCCAGGAGAAAATCTTGGGACTAATATATTTTTGTAATATGTTGGTGGAATTGTTGTTTCTCACTTATATCATTTCCCAAGGAAGATCAACACCATTTAAGGGTATTAGAATCGAACTTGGTGATACCCCCACAACCTTTTTATGTGTTGCTTCTTATTATCTGTCCACATTGTGCTTTGGGGAGTCATTACATCATTACATATAAGTGATACAGTCAGAGGGTAAATGTGATTGTGATATTTAAAAGTGAAGATTACTACTTCCTTTAAGTTTGCTTTCTGTACCAATTGTACTGAATGGATACACAAAATCATGCCAATGAGGGTTCTTGACAGTAATAATTGTGGACCTTCACTTTTTAAAAAAATATATATTTTATTGATTTTTTACAGAGAGAAAGAGAGAGGGATAGAGAGTTAGAATCATCGATCAGCTGCCTCTTGCACGCCCCCCACTGGGGATGTGCCCGCAACCAAGGTACATGCCCTTGACTGGAATCGAACCTGGGACCTTTCAGTCTGCAGGCCAACACTCTATCCAGTGAGCCAAACCGGTTTTGGCATGGACCTTCACTTTTATCCTAAATAACTGATGACTTATAGTATCTTTTACTTTATATGAAAATAAAAATGACTTTTGAATGAAGGTAAATCTCTTTCTTTCTATTGAAAGAAATTTGCTCATTTAACTCTTCTTCCAAGCAAAATAATAGCAATAAAACCCTTTTTTTTTTTTACTATGTTTTTGATTTAATAGCAATAATTTCCATTTCTAACCTTAGTAAATGTGTGTGGTAGACAATGTAGAAAAATGTGCAGAATTACAAAAAATAATATGGTGTTGGATTTAGCATGTTTTAGAAACTCAATGAAGAAAATGTGGTATATTAAATGTTATTTTTTATTATTTTAACTAATAGATTTCAATCAAGAGTGATTTTGCTCCCCAGAAGATGTTTGGCAATTTCTATAGAAATTGTTGTTTGTCACAACTGGTGGGGTGGGAGGGACTACTACTGGCATCCAGAATAGAGGCCAGGAATGCTGCCAACCATCCTATAAAGCAGAATGCTTTAGGCCAAAATGTCTGTAGCCTGAGGTTGAAAAACCCTGAATTAGACCAGTCAGAGTAACCAAAGACTAAGATATAAGATTAGGGTCCAACAAGTTGTCCAACGTTTGCCTCAGAGAAGAACCAGGGTCACCCCACCAAAAGAAAGACAGTTTGCTTAATGATTCTTATAGTCTGGTGGTTTTATAATTAAACTAGATCTTCACATACATTTAACCCATGGAAAAGGACATATAAACAAGCTCTAAGAACTGTATAAAATCCACGGAAATATAACTTTTTTTTTCATGAAATGTGCATAACAATTGGGAAGAATTTTTTTTTTTAAGTCTCAGGTCACAAGAAATATATTTTATTAATTTGGGGTAGGTGAGAATAGTGTTTATTCTACTTGTTACTTGAGTTTCTTGGGAGAGGGAGAACAGAGGGACCAGGCAACTTGGCAAAGCAAAGAGTCCGGAGGTAATTATAGTCCAGCGGCTATGAATAGAGAGTGAGAAACTTAAGCCGAAACCCATAATGATGTGATTTAAATAATATATCTGATATCATGATACATTTGCATTCTGTGGGTATTTGCAGTTTTTGCTACAGGCTTAATTTATTTGTAATGCATAGGACTTAAAGTAATCTAAACATTTTTCTAAATGGTTTAGTATTCATGTTTCAGTTGGGTTCTATATTTTAGTGCCTGAAAATATCTTAAAGGCAGATTCTCTGCGAACAAGATACTGTCTGATTTCATATATTAAAGTTCTCTAATGATACTGTAAACAATAAAATCATAGCTTGGTGGTATCATAAAGAGGGAGAAATAAAATCTGACATGGGATTGATGAGAAAGGACAATGGGAAAGGCAGTTAAGTAGGGGCTAGAAAGGCAGTAAGGGATGAGGTCACTTGCATTGCATTTATATCGTGAGACTTGATCCATATAGATAAGAAGGCTTTGATACACTTTTTTTTTTTTTGCAATGCACAATCAAATAAACATCAAAACAGAAGTAATGAGTAGCCAAGGCTATGTAGTTTTCTTTACCTTATTCATTTCTTCATTGGAAATTGTCTGCTTATTTCTCACTGGTTCTTTCAAGAGGTCAATGCAATCGTCGTGGAAGACTTCCGAATTCAGATTCATCTTTACAGCACCTCCCTGCTGTATAAAGTGATAGTGAGTGCCTGGGCAGAAAAGTTGAAGGGACAGTGCCATATAATAATCACTTGGAAGGAAAAAGGCCACTTTAACCTTTTAGTTGAATATATTCCACACAAGACTGATGTCCTCTCATAAGATTTATGAAATTACCCCTCCAAGTTCACAGGTCCCCTCCTATCTCATTCCTTTGATAAAATTCATTGCCAATAAAATTTGGTTGTTTAAAGGCACAGAAAGTGGGGGGGGGAGTCATTGCTACAATAGAATGCACCTGCAGGATTGTACCCTGCAATTTAAACCATTAGGAGAGTTTGGGGGAGCAGCAATGAGACAGAAATGACTAAGGGTTTCTGGTGTAGCAAAAAATAGGAAATCCAGAGAACTTAAACATGCAAAATGCTTGTGAGACTCATAAAAAGAGGGAGAAAAATATCACTGAATGCTAAAAACAACACACACAATTGAGAACAAAGGACAATATCTTGCTCCTGCATTTAATGGGCTTCTGTCTTAGTCATGGAGGTAGAGGGGGTTGCAAACTGCTGTGGAGCCAGTGTGAGGGCTGAGAGGACTTGGTGAAGGTAAAAAAAGATACGGTTACACAAGCGACAACACCAGTTTAGAATGATGATTCTACTGCAACAGAAGGGTCTCTGTTCCACCTGGAACATGGTCCTTGCATGAGCCTTCAAGAAACAGGCATGCCCTTCAAAGTACACATTCTACACTGACTCAGAGGATTAGGGGGGCACATTTAGCCTCAATTATTTTTTTAAATATATATATATTATATTATATTATATTATATTATATTATATTATATTATATTTATTATATTATATTATATTTTTTTTACAGAGAGGAAGGAAGAGGGAGAGAGAGTTAGAAACATTAATGAGAAACATCGAGCAGCTGCCTCCTGCACACCCCTACTGGGGATGTGCCCGCAACCAAGGTACATGTCCTTGAGCAGAATTGAACCTGGGACCGTTGAGTCCGCAGGCCAATGCTCTATCCACTGAGCCAAACCAAATCAGGGCTTTAACCTCAATTCTGAAACCTAAACTAGTTTATATTACTGGTCACTCTGCATTAGTACACTTGATACCTAATTCCAAATGGCAGCTGTTATAGAAAGAATGTTAGCTCTTAAATCATATCCAAGTTCAAATTCCAGGTCCACACTACTGATTGAAAGTGAAAGTACTTTCACCCTCTCTGAGCTTCCCTCTGAAACAAAGAAAACACATTTGCCCTATCTCCATGGCAAGGTTATTTGGAAATCACTGATGTAATTATGTATGAGAACCCTTTGTAAATCTCAAATTGCTATACAAATAGAAAGGATTATTATCACTATTTCAGCCTCAACAGGGATATCTGGGCCTACTTTTTTAACAGCTCCTAAAATGAGCCAAAGTATCAAGCATAAAAACTAGTCACTTAGGCTTCTTCTGCAAACTTCTGTAAGTGCTAGAAAGCATTCTCTGACAAGCTTCTGTTCAGGCTCCAACTCCTGAGGGCAATACTGATGCCAGTTTCTGCTGCCAGAAAGGCCCCTCCTCATTTTTAGCACCCGATCCTACCTTTCTGAGCTATGGAATGCTTCTTCTCTACTAATCCTTCAAATTTGCGCTATAAGTAACAAAACCCTTTCTGGAGAAGCTGCTTTAGGTGAAATACGGTGCAAATGTGTGGGTGCTATATTGGAGAGAGCCATCGTTTCCTCAGATATAATCAGGCAGGTGGCTTAGGGATGGTAATGGCAGTTATATTGATGATTGTGCGAGGAAATAGCACAGAGCAAGGAGAGACCAGAGAGGAAGTGACACCTGAGGAAGGTGATGCGGAGGAGGCAGTGTTTGGTTTTGCCCGTGAGAGATGGTAAGATTCGGAGAGACAGAGGTAGAAGGTCATGTGTTTGAAGTAAAGGTTTGGAAGCAGGAAACCTGGGAATGTGGGGGTAGCAGACCAGTGAGACGGGAACTTGCAATGGCTGTAGAAGTACAGTGGTTTGGAAAGACTATCAGCCTCAGAACACTGGAAAGCCTTTAATATGAACTTTATTTGTAGTGAAGCGTTTTCAATGTAAAAATGGCACCAGCAGAGGGTGGTTGGGTGGTGGTGGAGGGATTGAGTAAAAAAGAAAAATAAAAGAGAGAAAGAGAGAGAAAGAATTCATAGAGATGGACAACAGTATGGTGATGGCAGGGTGAGGGATTGAGGAGTGGTGGCAGTGGAAGAGGGCATAGAGGGGATAAATGGTGATGGGAAAATAAAAATTAAAAATTAATTAAAATAAATAAGTAAAAATGACACCAGAAGAAATGTATTTAGGAAGGACAATCCAGCTGGAATGTATAATTAAGAGGCTCCTGATTAGTACAAAAAAGAATCTAAGTGATGCATAGGAAATGAGAGAGGGTCTAATCCTTACTACAAATGGTATAAGAAGGATTAGGGAATGAGGAAGTGTAGAGAGGGAATAGAAACAGCTTTCAGGAGGAATATCCATGAAGGTGAAAATCTGGAAAAGGCTATAACTTTAAGAGGATGGATTTTATTAAGAGGATCCCACTAGAAGGTGCACAACATAATTGGGAGGGACATTTGTAGACAATAGGGAGCAAAGCTTCAGAGAAACAGCGATTTTCAGGCTGTGTATCAGAAATCAGGAGAAGAGACAGATCCTCAAGGGGTGGGGTGGAGGTAGGGAGAAAATGATAACTGTCATAAAAAATATGTGATATGTGGCACATTCATACATTACTGGTGGCATTATAAGTATAAAACATTTATGGAATTCAATATAAATATACATATTTGAAACATTAAAAATTAATATTATTTCATATACACATATGTGAAGCATTAATAATTTCATACCCATTTACCCAAACCTGGAGAATGTATGCATAGGTAATAATACAAAAGAAAGAAAGGTCTATATGCATGAAAATGTTTGTTATAGTGTTATTTAAAATGATAAAGAAGTTTTTTAAAAAAAATCTAGATTCTTAACCAAAGGTAAAATGGATGAGTTAAAAGGTTGCAACATTTATTGAATGGAATTAGTATTCAAATTTATGAAATGGAGATTCAAACAAAAAGATATGTTTGCTAGAAATAACTATACTTCTGCTCTGAACTGTAAGAGCACCAATATGTCTCAGTAAGAACAATGATCACAATAATCATGGGTGTCTTCCATAGTGTAAATGAATTATTGCCTTGTCTTCTGATGGGCACTTAGGTTGCTTCCAAATATTGACTACTGCAAATAACACTGCAATAAATACAGGGAGCATATATTCCTTTGAATTATGTTCCAAGTTTCTTCAGATATATTCCCAGATCATATATCACTGTATATATGAGCAAAATCACTGGGTCATAGAGCAGTTCCATTTTCAATTTTTTAAGGTAATTCTATACTGCTTTCTACAATGGCTGCACCAATCTGCATTATCAGCTGCATTTTTATACACCAATAATGAACTATCAGAAAGTGAAATGAAGAAAAGAATCCCATTCATTATTCAAAAAAATAAAATATCTAGGAATAAATTTAACCAAGGATGTAAAAGACCGTACTCAGAAAAATTATAAAACACCAAAGAAAGAAATTGAAGAAGATACAAATAAGTGGAAGCATATACAGTGTTCATGGATAGGAAGAATTAACATTAAAAAGCCCATACTACCCAAAACAATCTATAGATTCAATGCAATGCCTATCAAGACACCAATGGCACATTTCCCAGAACTAGAACAAATATTCCAAAAATTTATATGGAACCACAAAAGACCCTGAATAGCCACAGCAATCTTGAGAAAAAAGAACATAGTTGAAGGGATTATGGGATTACGCTACTTGATACCCAACTATACTATCATACAAGGCCATAGTAATCAAAATAGCATCAGTTTTCTAGTCCATGGATAATGCTAATGATTAGTTTAATATTTCAGTGAAGTTAATTGTTCAATGAACATAACTCTTGAAACATAGTTTTATTTTCTCTTGGGCCACAATCTGTAGAGAAAATAAAAATTTATTTATGAATAAAAACATAAGGTTACTTAATTCAGACTTTAGTTTGATTTTAATGGTACACATTTATTCTTTAGGATATGATTCATGAAAATGTAAATGAGACACCTTAATTGTAGTTAGCCCTCATTCTCAACAATGATGAAAAAGAAAGTTTTCTCTGCAGTGATGAAAAAGAAACAGAATTAATGATCAGAAACACCCAAATAATTATGTTAGAAAACTGTGAAACAAATGTGCACATTATATCCCTTGAGAATTTCCCTTAGAACATTTTTGCACCAGAAGACCCCTGATGAATGCATTTTTATTTATACCACTCGAACGTACATATTCTGAGAAGACATTACCTTCAGCTTTTCTTCAAGCTCAGTGAGAGAGCCGCATAATTCAGTAATAGATTCAAGAACCTCTTTGTGTTTTGCCACAATTTTTTCAGTATATTTCTGTCCTTCTTCAAAACCTGGAGAGGAGAAGGAATAAAACTATCTTTAAAAGTCAAATTCTTGGCAGAAAAAACAAAACAAAACAGATTTTAATTCATCTCCTCAGTGTCTGGTAGATAGTAAATGCTTAATAAAATATGTGCTAGACAAGTAAATAAATAAAAGCATTTTTTAGAACTAGGTATTCTAGAAAAATGCTTACATTTACTGTATCATGTCTCTTTTATGTAATCTAAATAATGTTGCTATATTAATATTCTTAAAGCTGAATTGCAATCAGTTTTACCCAATTCAGAAGATTCAGTGGTTCTTTAGTACCTAGGGAGTATGCATTGAAGGCCTTCAATAATATAGGTTTAACTTGCCCCTCCCCAATGTTTATCACCCTAGTTCTCTCACATATTTCATCTCTGGCAAAAACTGAACACATATTCCTGGTTCTTCCTTCAAAATTCTCACAGCCACTGGGCATTTTTTCCTGTACTACGAATGCCCTTCCCCCCTTCCATTTCTGCTATCAAATCTCTACCTATTTTTCAAGCTCTACCTTAAGTGCTAACATCTTTGTGAAAATGTTTTTAATCTTTCCCAAATGTATTTAATCTCTCCCAATTGGAATAATAATGAACATGTCTACCAAGTAGTGAGTGCATAGGCACTTCATACGCATTGTCTAATGTAATCCCCCTCAAGTAGGTTCTCTTGTATTTTACAAATGAAGAATCCGAAGCTCAAAAGAGCCTCTTCAGGTAACCCCGACAATAACTGGAGGACCAGGGATTCAAACCTGGTCTACTGGAATCCAAAGTTTAGGCTAAATTCTACTGCACATCACTATGGGCTGAATTGTGTTCATCCTCAAATTCATATGCTGTAGTTCCAATCCCCAGTATCTCCAAATGTATCCTTATTTGAAGATAAGGTTTTCAAAGTGGTAATTAAGTTTAAAAAAGGCCATTAAGGTAAAGCCCTAAACCAATATGACGAGTGTCCTTATAACAACAGGGAGAGACAGCAGGGGTGTGTGTGCGCACAGAGGGGTGTCCATGTGAAGAGGCAGCAATGGTGGCCACCTGCAAGCAAAGGAAAGAAGCCTGAGGAGAAACCAACCCTGTGAGTACCTTGATCTTACACTTTCAGCCACCAGAACTGGAGGAAATAAATTCCCGTTGCTTAAGCCACCCAGCCTATGCCATGTTGCTATGGCAGCCTGAGATGACTCATACACACACTTTATACCTCTCTCATTATATTAACCATTTCATGATTTCTAAGTCTAGACCATGGATTCTTGAATGAAGGAACTAGATTTTATTTGTCTTTATTGGTTAGAGCTCCTAGTACTTAAAAGGTACTCAGAAATCTTTGTGATACATTTACTTGCATTAAAATTCTGGGGTCAGCCCTGGCTGGTTTGGCTCAATGGATAGAGTGTTGGCCTGTGGACTGCAGGGTCCCAGGTTTGATTCTGGCCAAGGGCACGTGCCTGAGTTGCGGGCTCAATTCCCTTTGGGGGGCATGTAGGAGGCAACCAGTTGATGATTCTCATCATTGATGTTTCTATTCCTCTCCCCCTCTCCTTTCTTCTCTGAAGTCAATAAAATATATTTTTAAAGTTCTGCGTTCAGTAATGTTTGGGTGACCTGCAAGAGTAGATGATTTAATATTCCTAAAGTATCTTACTAGGTGAAATTTTAAAAAAATGCATAGCTTCCATATTTAACAGGAAAAGACTCATGCTATTTTTTTCAATGATTTTTTTATTCATCAAGTATTTATTAAGCACTTAGTATGTACCATGAAGCAGTGAACTAACAGGCAAAATCCCTTCTCTCGTGGAGTTTATACTCTGGTAAGGAAAGGCAGAAAACAGATAAATAACTACATAAAAGTCAGTTGGCAATAAGGGTCAGGAATATAAAACAAAGCAAGATACATAATCATGCATGCTGGGAGGGGTGGGTCTTTATGAGTACTTAGTGTGTCCTAACATTGAATAGGCACTGAAATATAGGGATAAAATATACTTCCCATGCCCTCAATGAGCTTGTGGTCAGTAGAAGGGACAAATAAAAAGGAAATTATGCTACAGTGTAAGAAATATAATAATACTAGAAGAAAACATATACAATGCTATGAGGACAGAGTGCCTCCAAAATTTTTGGTGCAACTCATAGAATAACAACAGTAAGAATGTGACATCATATTGGTTTTCATTAATTTTTCAATCTGTATTTTATTATTTTGATGTTTCTACTCTTTTCCTTTGGAAAATCATTAACAATTCATTCATAACAATTTAATATGTTATTGCAGTATTTATTATTCTACAAATTTTTAGGTCAATCCATGGACAGTGTGCTTCCTGTATTAAGAGAAAATCCTCATCTGGCAGCAACTGTGGGCATTCAAATGAAGCATTTTATACCACCTGTTGATATCTTCTTTTGAGGATGAATTTGGTCACTGGGAGTAAGTCTTGGTCTCAGTTAATAACATCTGGGAATTGATGAATCATGCCTCACCACTCTCAAGGACTGTAATTACCTATGGGGCATCTTAAATGGGAGTCTCCTTTAGCTAGGACTTCTCAGACAGCAGAGCTAACACCTTACCTCTCCTAGTCATGGAGAAGAGGAAAGAAGAACCCATGTGATGACAATTTTAGTTTTCCCATTTACTCCACGAGTGAGAGGAAGGCAAGAGAAACATTTCCATCTTTCTTATGTCCACAAACAATAACTGTCATAGAAATGAGAAGGCTATAGACTTTAGTCTTAGCTTGATACTTACTTAAACTATCATGGAAAATTTGCATGTTTTTCAAGGAATCACACTAGTGAAAATTAGAATTTTTTTTTTCTCTATAAAAGCTGAGTATTGTTCTAGTTTTATTACCCTTGGAGATGGGCAACAAGAATGGGGAGAGAGGAGAACAGAGGAGATTTACATAAGGTAGTTAAAAATCTGCAAGCTTCATCTGCAGACAGAAGTTCCAACCTCTATTCCCCAGTTGCTTACTTTTGTAGGTTGTGAGCTCTTATCTTTAGCCTTTTCCCTGAATAGGTTGGAGTAGAGAGGACCATGCGGACTTGTGACCCTCTGCTTTCTGCTAGATTAGGTTCAGCAAAGGTTTGTTTCATGGGAAATCATGGCATGTTTTAAAAGAGATCTCACCAATTAACCAAAGAACTGGTATGGATATATGCACAACCCATGGACACAGACAATAGTGTGGTGATAGGCCTTGGGCTGGGGGAGGATGCAGGCTAAAAGGATTTACTGGGGAAAAGAGACATCAGTAACACTTTCAACAATAAAGATAAAAAATATTTCATGTAAAACCACATGAAATACATTAGAAAAATATCTATTCACACTTAGGCCTTTAGCTAGTCATGGCCTCGAATAAGTTTTCTCTTTCTTATATGAGGGGGGAAAGCTTTATGGAATGATTAAAACACCTTTTAAATCCTAAAAAAGAGAGAGAGCTCACCATATAATCGCTGAGCGAGGTCACTGATCTCCTGGATCCTTTCTTCTTGCTGAGGCACTGAAGGCGTGATAAACTTATTGAACTGCTGGTGGAGGATTTCCACAGCCTCTCTGGTCTGGCATTCCGTGGAATATTTTCCAACTCTTACAACTGTGGCACTTGCATCATCACACCAAAAATGACACTAAATTAAAATAGAACAAAGCATAGATTAACAAGATACCATCATTCTAATGTTCTTTGCTTTGGTCTCTGTAGTATCAAATTTAAATTTCCTCACACTTTATGTTCACATTAGTTTGAATCTCTAAGTTTTAATAAAAAATATCAAAACATGATCATATACTTTGTACTTGGGTATTAGAGTCAGATAAGAAAAAGTATGAAAATTCTTTTGATTTTCTTGCCTTCTTAAATTTGTCTGAAGCATAATTCTTAAGAGGAATGTTGCATATTTGCAAGAACAGGCAATATAAAAAGTGTATAAAGGCACTAAAATATCCAAACATAACCTAAAAGGAAATTTAAAAACCCAAACACAAAATCCAGCCTAATTTATTGAAACCATTAACAATAAATGGATAAAGTATTGCCTGATTACCACTCAAATGACTTCTCTTTTAAGAATTAGATATAGTCTATGGATTAGAGAAATATCATCTAAGGAATAGCATTTGACCTATTTTGTAATAGAAGACAATCATATTTTCAAAGCACACTGGAGAACTGAGTTTCTTCACTAAAAATAACCATGATGGAAGGAACATGTCTGACCAAAGCCACAAGCTCTTGCACTGAGTGGGAAATAGAAACACATGACTTTGAATAAGTGCCACAGAGCTACAGCAAACCTATGAGTTATAGAAGAGTGGTTATCTGGATCCTTCTTAATATGCTGTTAAATCTAAAAACTCTACTGCATCAGTGGTAAATAGAGGTGTTAGTTGTTTTATTTTAATTTCATAACAGGCTACAAAAAACACTCAAGAACTCTGAGTACAGAGTTTCTTCAATGTAAGTGTGTAACTCCATGGTGTGGCTCAGTGTTGGAGCACTGACCTATGAACCAGGAGATCATGGTTGGATTCCCAGTCAGGGCACATGTCTGGTTGTGTGCTTGATCCCCAGGAGAAGGCATGCAGGAGGCAGCTCATCAATGATTCTCATCAATGATGTTTCTATCTCTCTGTCCCTCTCCCTTCCTCTCTGAAATCAATAAAAATATATTTAAATAAGTGTGTGAAAATAATTTTAACTTGTCAAATTTTATATATTTTACATATACTCTTCCATTTTAACCTTTTGACAAAACAAAAATAACACCAATAATAATTTTTATACCTGAAAAATTCAAGTATCACCCTTTCTTTCTAAAAAACTTTCATATTCTGTGAAGAAAATAAGTTGTTTTGGGTGTTTTAAACAGATATCCAGCAGTGAACATAATTTCATGATTGTTAAACATCTTCAGTTGACAAGGTTATAGAGAAAGGAGAAACTCTCATTTGTTGCTAGCAAGAGAAAGTTAGTCAAGTCTTTCTAAGGGCAATTGGACAATACTCTCAAAATATTGTAACATTTTGGTTTAGCAATTCAACTCTAAGAAATTGGTTCAGCAATTCTACTCTAAGAAATTGTCTTAAATAAGCATGGAAAGGAGAATGATGCATGGGCTTAATGACAAAAATAGCTACTACAGCATTGTTACAAAGTATCAGAGTGATTTTATAGGACAGCATTACAGTATGGACACCACAACAGAAAGCAGGTACCTCTTCTATCATCTCGTGGAGGTGCTCAATCAGGTCCAAATTCTTCTTGTAATCTGTTACAACTTTATCAAACTCATCCACATGTTTTTTCAAATCCTTCATGGCTTCCAAAAGAACTGTAACTTTACTATTTGGGTAATTTAAGAAAGATTCAGAAGTCTTGTTCTCAACTTTTTCCATTTTCTTTTTCAAAACCTGTGCCAATATATAAAATCTTTAAAATAAAATTCAATTTTTATTTAAGAGGCTAGCTAGTGATTAAATATTGGAGAAACACTTGGGAAAACTATTTGAAGCTTCCTCCAATATAATATATTAAAATTATAATTATTAAAATGAATTTTGGATGAATGGGCTTTCTTCTAGATAGTATATTGATTCAGCATTCAGCAAACATATAGAAAATTAACTACAGGCCAGGGTCTATTCCAGATTTTGAGAATAATACTATAATTAAAAATAAGATAATAATTATAAAATCAGATATTTTATTGACTTCAGTAAGTTCACTGTCTCTTGGAAAAGGCATTCAAATAATCTAATCTGTATCTGTGATAATCAAGGTAGGTGTAGAAAGGTCCTTCCACAAGCAGGTGTGAGGGGGGAAAGAGGATGTGCAAAAGGTAGATGCATGTATGCATATGTGTGTGTGTGTATGTGCATATGTGTGAGTGTGTATGTTTGTGTGTGTTGGGGGTAAGAATAGAAGCAGAGAGGCTAGGTAGGTTCGGTAGAAACCATTCTGGAGCTGCTTTCAAAGGTAAATCAATTTATTATATATTTTACATAAAAAAACTTAAATTGTTATAAAAATGGATAACTACCTTTTCAGTCCCAATGCTGTAAAAAAAAAAAAAATAGCCCAAGGATTAGGCATCTAGAATTGAAATGCAAAATGATTTTGCAGTAACTGTAGTAGTGCATGCAAACACACACACTTTTTTTTTCATTACCTGTATTTTCTCAGCATACATATCAACTTGTTGAATTTGATATTTCAGAGCCTTCAGATTCTTAGCTTTTTCATTTTTCTTAGTGTAATTGAACTTCAAATTGTTAAATTTCTTTTTGATATCCTTGAATGACTCTCTGAGCTGCAGGTCAATAAAAAGAAAGAAGTGATTTCCTTAAAATGAGAAACGTAATATTCACTTGTAAAAATGAAAATATCTAAACACTTCAAAATATTCATAATCTTTAAAATGTTTTCAGTGATTTTAAATAGAAAACATGTCTGCTAAGTGAACATATAAGGTGAATTAGAACATATCCCCAAAATATAAGTAATTATGAAATTGTTTCAGTATTTTTAGAGTTTAATTTATAATTAGCCTTACTGTTATAGAACATCCTTTGGCCTCCAACAAACAAAGTTTTTAAGATATCATTAACTTTAGATAACTCTTATTTTTCTATTTGTACTTATTTGGTATCAGTATTCCATTCTCTCTGTGTTAATATTAATATTTCCAGCTCCCAGAGCTCTCTTTCAGCCACCAAGTAGAAATTGATTAAGGCTCCAAGGAGCTGTTCATGTTGCAGAGGTCAATGGCGTTTTGACATTGGGACCATCTAGGATATTGGTGAGGTTAAAAAAGATACCCACTTTGAGATTTAGTAGGAAAAGGACTTATTTTCCCCAAACCATAAAAAATTATTTCTCCTGAGCAGTTTCCAGAAGAGACTCAATTCTTAGCCAGTAACTTCAGAGGTCCTTCCAAAATGAAAGAGTTAAGTAACAGATGTCACCACTTATAAAATGCTAATGTGAATAAACAAATATATGGCTGGCAGAGAACTAAGGCACCAAGCCAGGGGAGAGACATAGGTCTTAGGCCGCCTCCAGTAGGCTCCCAATAACCAACCATTATCAACTTGTCTTAAGATGTGAGGGCATTTTAAACTTCTAGCCTTCATCACTCAACACTAGGGAAAGCAAAAACAAAAACAAAAAAAAAAACAAAAAACAAAAAAACACTACCAAATCAACTGACAATTGCAAGAAGTAAGCTGCTAGTTTTCAGTAACTTTTTAGGCAATGATAGAAAATAATAACACAAACCAGTACCTATGAAAACAAACAATTTGGCTAACCACTGAGAACAAGGCATACATTGTGACAGTCTTAAGAACAAACAGTTCAACTTTACCAATGAAGCAAAATTTTAAGCAGTCCAGTTCCCTTGAACAAACTATTTCTGGGCCCTTTTCTATATTCAGGAAGAGTAAACATGTTGGCAGACCACTCTCCTTTTATATTATCAGCAAAGAAAAGTACAGAGAAAAGGTAAACCTTAGATTACATGCAAGCATTTTAACATCAAGAATGAACAATGTCATGGTAAATTTGAGCTATGATAAGGAAAGTGAAGAAAACATTAAAATTATCTTCAATGACAGCAAATAAATTATTTGGGAGGGAATAAAGGCTGTCTACTTGCTAGATTTTAAACTTATAGAAAGAAATACCTGCCTTAGAAAATGCTTGCTTTCTCAAAATGCTTACTTCAAATTGTGCATACTAGAAAAACAAAATTTTGACCTTACTTTAACACATTTTGGAGACAATTATCTATAAAGCCCTAGCAGACCTACATACATGGAAATTATACTGATGCAAGTTTTTCATCTGACACACCTCTATATATTCAGCATTGTTGTTGTGTTTTTTTTTAATATGGTAAATTAAAGTGCTGAACATTAGTTTTAAGCTACAAACTAAACCAAGCACATTTAAACATATAAATCAGTAGTATTCTAAAGGAGCAGAAAGAACTATAGCTTCAAAATTTGAAAATGTTTTCTCTATTAGAACTCAGGAAAACATTTAAAAGATCATACTCAGTATATTTATGAAATAACCAATTAATATTTAAATTATTTGCATTTGATGTTTTAAAATGAATGTTTAATTTTAGAAAGAAAAGACATATGAGATTAATTTTATGGGGCTGAGACATAAGTAGACTTTATCCTGAATTATTCACATAAAACTTTGAAAGGAACTTTTTTTCTGTGAAGTAAAAACCAGCAACTATTGGTATAATAACTATCACATTCTAAGAAACCAGAAACGCTTGTATCTTTAAGGAAACATGGTCTTAATGGGGAGTTGGAGTTTAATGATTACAGAGTGTCCTGTTAAGATGATGAAAAAGCTCTGGAGGTGGTTGTACAAAAACATGAATATACTTATATAACTGATCTATATCCTTAATATGGTTGATAGTAAAGTTTATGTTTATTTTTTATCACAATTAAAATAAATTTTTTGGTTTTTAATAAAATCAAATTTAAAAATAAGGTAAAAATAACATTTTCTATTTTTAATATATTCCATTAAAAATAAATTATGTTATTCTTATTTTTTCCCTTACTGGGACATGACATATACAGTGTGGGGGGGGGAATACAGTTGTGAGTACATGAAAACAGTTTTTCCTTGTGTTATTACTTATCAAATTATTTTATTTCCATATAAAATAAATAAACCTACTTTTGTCCTAGCCTATGTTATGAACTTCAGTCCAGGAAAAGAAAGAGGAGAGGGGCCCTGTTCATTGGGTTACATCTGCTGTTTAGATGGGAAAGATCAACATCTATTTGAAAATATGTGATGAATGGAGAAAGGCTTAATCCTAACCCTTTAATTCTAAACCATGAAGTTTTAAGTCTGTTCTGGATGACTAAATTGAAGACTGATAACCAATGAGTGCAACTTCACTTCCATGGGTTTCAGAATGTAAACACTTCCACGGAAAATGACCTAAAGGCCAAAGAATGTTCATGGCACTGTGGGTGTGTGACATGGGATCGGCTTCTCTCTGACACATGAGCTCCTCTGACAAAGCTGCTGGCACTTTTCACTTTGGGTCCCACTCCAAATCCATCTTAAATCCTGTGCCTTTCCCAGCTGGGATTCAGGACGGCTGCAGATACAGTGGGAGGCAACATGCATGTATCACCTCTCAGCAAAAAGAAATCTAGTCATGCATACTTTTCTTACCTGCACCTTTCTATATGAAAACTTAACTTCCCATCTAATCCCCACGTAACCTGGGATCATAATTTTAAAGGAATTGAGAGCCATGGCAGCTTCACTGTGGTATTATTGTTCATGCAGCTGTTTCTAACTTTAGCTAGCTCATCAACAAAGGGGAATGGTGGCGATGGCTAAGACAACCACTGTTCAACTGGAGCACATAAGCCACAGAAATCATCAAAGCTTGGGGCAAGATGAAATTCACCCAGAAATATTTAAATGTTTTTAAAATTCATATTCATAAAAATGTATGAAAGTCTTAAGCAAACCAGAAAGATCCCCCTCCCCCAGTGAATAGTATGATATCCCTACCTCCCCACTTGCTCGTCTTTGCTATAGAATAAGCAGATTAAGTCAAGATAGCTATAATTAAGGGCGGAATAGGAAGACAGTAGGTCTTTTGACATTAGTAGAATGAGCATCATCACCAAATGTCCCAGGGAGCAGTCAGCCTCTCTCAGGGTTAGGAATGAACAAAGATTCGTTGAGAAGAAACAGAAGGGAAAGAGGCCGACGACAAGACTGGTTTGCTATTCTTAGTGCTGGTTGAGGCAATGTTGGCACCAGAATGTATTATTAGTGAGCCTGTTGCTGACAAGGCCAATTTATGTAGGGAACGTGGGACATTTTTAAACTAAGGAAATATGTTTCACAAAAAGCCTTTCATTAGAACTATGGCACATGTTTGGCCAGAAGTAAAAACACAGAACAAGCAGTCCATTTCTTTTAATGTCCATTTCATGTGCTTCATTTCTTGCCCACCATTGTGCCCAATCCAGACAAAAGCTTTCTGATTGATGCTCATTTTAGGGAGAGAAAGCTGTATTGTTGTCATCTCCCAGGGATGCTTGCATTTGACATGAAGAGGCCCAAAGACTCACAATTTAACCGGGATGATTTGTTTTACAGTTAGTAATGGCAGAGTATTAAGCCTTAGCACTGGGGAGGTTTCAGGATAAGACTTTCTTGCCCTTCTTCCATAAAGCAACTGCACCACTGTCTTGCTGTGCTTATAGCTAGTCTTGTACCAGCAGAAAGGGGGGCGGGGGGGCCTTGGAAAGAGGAGAGAATTGCTCCGTTTTAAATTAGAGGTAGCAGCATGTCCCAGTAGTGCCCATTTTATCTACCCTGCGCGATCTGTGTCCATCATGTATTTTCTGAATATAACTATGATGTTATAATTTAGCTCTCTATATATTCTTTAGAAAGAAGAGGCATTTTTCAGATGTAAAACACCAAACTTTAACAGATTTTAACCATCTGAAATGGACATTCTCAGAACAAATCACAATAGTTCCTATTCACTTACCCATGTCATTGAATGGACCCAGGTGGGGCCTGACAACCGGTAGTGGCTGTGACTGAAGTCCCAGGGGCTTTAACCTGCCCTAGGCTCTGATTCCCGAGGCTTCTGCATTCTTATGACCCTCCTCCACCACAGGTGGCCATGCTGATATTTGCTGAATGACAATAATTTAGGTTTTTCTCTTAAAATAATGAACTAAGTTTATCAACTTACAAAAAATAAGAATTTTCTGTGCTGCCCCCAGCAGGTGTTTTACTCATCTATACACACATTTTCTGCTTATTTTCTTGCTACAGGGTGACTGCCCATGGTCATTTTGTCAATGGCAAATCACCATGCAGTGTCAGGAGACTTAATTATTATATATGTGTCTATAGCTGCGCCATTCCCCTATTCTAATTTATCATTTCTAATCTGCCTTGTATCCATGGAACAAATACTCTGACATATGGTAAGAAAGATAGGTAGGTAGATAGATAGATAGATAGATAGATAGATAGATAGATAGATAGACAGATGATAGTCTTTTTGTTTCCTTTTTGATGGTGAGATATTGCTACAGTGCAAAAAAATTTCAGGCTAAGTAACATCATTATATGAAAGCTTCTGATTGCAAATTTGAGAAAATGGATAGCAACCCAATTCTGTCATTACTATTCTTTTCAGCAAAGTAATTGTGGTTTACAATGAGACTCTAGCTACAAATTTCCATTAACATCATGTAAATGTAGAGGTAATTTTTTGATCAGATAGCAAGGAGAAAACATGTTCAATATTAACTTATTACATTTCTAAATGAAGATGGTAAAGAATGAGTAATGGTGTTCTGTCACATAATATGGCAAAGGATGTCTATAATGCTCTGTGTATTAATAGCTTATTTATATTGTCAAGCGATAAAACATAATGAAATTCAACATTCATGCATACAAGCATATCTTCATGGGAAATGGGTGAGAAAAACAAACACAAAATATGTCAGTCTGAAGGCAGTGTTTTCCAGTAGGAAGACATGGAGAAAATGAATTTTCATAATTTCCCATGTCGTTTGGCATATGAAAATTAAAAACTAATATTTTAACCAAGGATAATCAAGGTACAAAACCATGATCCTTTGTCTTTAAGAAATTATCACATCACATTTTTAAAAATCACATTTAGAACATATCACTTTATTTTGCCTTGAGATACCACATCCTTTTCTAAGGGCCTTTCATGTAGTTAAAACCATGTAAGTTAGTTATGGCAACATCAAGAAAATAATTCTTGTAATGACCAAATTAATTGTTATTGTATCAGATCATACAAACTCATTTCAACTCAGAGTCTGTGAACTTGCAAGAAGCCCTTTAAGAAAACAATGAAATATTAGAAGAAAAACATGTTTTCAAATCAACTTAAAAAATCAAATGCTATGCATGTTAAGGTACCCAATTGTATTTTTTTAAAGAAAGAAAGAAAGAAAGAAAGAAAGAAAGAAAGAAAGAAAGAAAGAAAGAAAGAAAGAAAAGTGGAACATGTTGCTTTTAGTTTTACAAAATGTTTGAAGTAACTATATCAAAATTTCAATGATGATAAAAATAATAAAACTGTCTAGGTGTCAAATATTCACTTTGAATTAGACACCAATTTGCACTCTGATATTCATAATACAAACTAGAACTTTATTTTACTAAAGGGCACTGAAAATATTACTTCTAATTACTTTCCCTTGTAGGCTCATGATTGGAAAGGCCAAGGTGTAGACACTACACTGTGGCATGCCTAATATATCTCTACAAGAAAGGAAAGGGGAGAAAGGACTGATGATGTTCAAACACCCTTTAAACGTGAAAGTATAACCTACATAAAAGATTAGTGGGGTTTGAAGTAGAAGCAAACGGGAAGAACAGGTCTCTTAATATTTAAGATCATGTTAGAGTGACATCTGACTCCTAAAGCAAGCTTGCACGTATCTGGTTGCTCTTTCCTCGTAAGGTACAGACAATCCTGGGGCATCCCTACTATGACTGGAAGAGTGATCTGCTGTCCTGGCCAGCTGGCTCCCAGCACAGGCTCATCACAAGGCGGCCCTATAAACAGAACCTACTGTGGGAAGGGCCTGAACAGGGAGACTCAGCACCACAAGTGCCACAATGCTTCAGGGAGGTGGAAACTGAGCAGTAAGGGACTGGGAATAAGCCTTAGCCAGCTCCACTTGTGGTTTCTGTAGAGGCTGAATATCCCAGCAGGAAGAGCAATTTTCAGCAAGACAAAAAAATTACCACGAAGGAGAAGGAGGAGGAGGAGGAGGAGAAAGAGGAAGAGGAGGAGGAGGAGAGGAGGGAGAAGAAGGAGGAAAGGAGGAGGGAGGAGAAGGAGGAAGGAGGAAAGGAGGAAGGAGGAGAAGGAGGAAGGAGGAAAAGAAAGATGGGGAGAAGGAAGAAGAAGAAAAGATGATAATTTTGGGGAAAGATAGTAAACACATTGTTTTCATGGCTGCGAATCTAAATTGAATAGATTTAGGGAGAATAATGCTCTCCTAAGATTGCTTTCCTTGTTAATGGCAGTACAGAAAGCAGAAGAGGCAATTCTACTACCAAGTGGGCAGGATTCACTATGAGTTTAACCCTGAATGACTCTCTGGAACATCTTCTGTGTAGAAACTATAGTCCTGTAGCACATTGCTAAAATGAACATCATGATTGATTTAGTTGTTGCTTCCCTCCTGTTGAATGGGATCTAAGTGGCCTCTCCTGCTCTGCTCCCTCTTACTTTCCTTCTAGCAGTGCTTGCCTCTGCCTTCCCTGTGGTTTGTGAAAGTGTGGCCTGCGGGAAAGGGCTCTTCAAGTTCAGTTACAAATACTTTAGTCCATGCTCTAATGTTGTTTGATAATGTTTGATTTTGGGGGCTACATCCTATAAACTGGTCATAAACAGAACCTTCAAGTAGGTTTACTTCCTCCTTCCCCACTCTGTTTCCTAATAGATTTGTGACTAATGGACTCAGAGACATTTTGCTGAAAATGGGGGTAGATCTGAAATCATGGAACCTTGTGTTCTGTCAACCCCCAGCCGAGAATTTGGGACCCTTGCTATCCTGAACAAGTAGGGCTTTGAGTGGAAAGTTTAATTAGGGAAGGCCAAGTGGTTGTGGTCCAATATGTACTTGGGTTGGGGGGTCAAGTAGAATTGAGGGAGAGGAGGTCCAATTATGTGATAGAGGAGGGCATTGATGTGAAGGACAATTTTCATCTGTTCATTATTTTTCTCTAGGAGTTGTTTTGCCGGGAAAGCCATTCTGAATAAATAAAAAATCAGATACTTGACTTTGTAGCCTCTGAGGCGAAGAGCCCACTCTCCTGGCCCTTAGCATGTGCTCCACCATGAGTCAGTGGCACTTAAATAGAACCTCCGCAGGCGGAGCTGACTGCAAAGGGTCAGTGTCACCCTTCCTGCCCCGACAGGCTGCATGCACTCAGCAGATACGTGCTATAAGCATTTCAGAGGGTAGAAAAAAGTATTCAATAAACTGTAACATTAATTCTAGGTTTTTCGATGCATTGACAAGGTACTGACTTCAACAAGTTTGGAAGCTTGACGTTTACTCAAACGTTGAGTTCTGAGACCATTGCTCTGTGGATTAAAAGTCAAGAGTGTGCTCTGGCTGGTATTCCACAGTGGTTAGAATATCGGCCTATGCATCTAAAGGTTGAGGGTTCAATTCTTAGTCAAAGGGCATGAAACTGGGTTGCAAGTACCCAGTTAGGGCACTTGCAGGAGGCAGCCAGTTGATGTGTCTCTTTCAGCAATGCTTTCTCTCTCTCTCTCTCTCTCTCTCTCTCTCTCTCTCTCTCTCTCTCTCTCTCTCTCTCTCTCTCTCTCTCTCCTCCCCCTTCCCTCCCTCCCTCCCCCACTCTTCTCTCTCTTCCACTTCAATTCTCTCTGAAAAGCAATGGAAAATATCCTCTGGTGAGAGGAAAAAAATTTTTCAATGTCAAGAGTGTAAAGAAAGTCTCCTGATTCTATGTGTGTGTATACGTGCAAACACAAACATTGAGACAAGTGTTGGCTCAGAGAGGCTCTTGGTAATGTGTCGGTCTGACCCCTTCCACCCACCTCGTTTATCTCATCCCTCGTGGCGCAGTACTGCAAGCTGCCGGCCAGGGCCCGCCCATGCTCCTCGGCTCTGGCTCGCCAGTCCACACTCTCCCCCTCAAGGATGTCCAGCTGCCGCTGCAGGTTCTTTGCAGACACATTAGCGCAGCTCTGAAAGCGAAAGAGAAATAGCAGTAACAAAGGGAACAGGCAAAGCAGCGGGGCGACAAGTAGGCTACTTACCTGCATTGTGAAACTCATGAATGACATTTTAAAAAACAGGCTCCTGAAATAGCTTCAGCCTATCTGAATGTAAGGATTTCACAAAGAAGCCAGGCACCCAGCAAGGTGGGAAAGGCGAACTGTTCCACTTCCACTCTTGAAACTTCAATTTTGAAGCCTGCACATCACACTAGCTCCTCAGAGACACCACTCATTACAAGGTGTAATTTTTACCTCAAAAGGCAGAAATCAAGCATTAGAAACATTTGGCTTCTGCGCAGTAATTTTCCTGTCAACCGGAGCTTCAGCTCAGGTTCATTATGCAAGAGCTCCCTCCAATCTCCACTCGGCAGAGGGCTGCCAGGGCCAAGGCCAGAGGAGACTGGAGAACAATTTGCATTATTTGTGTAAAGTGAGGCGTCTTACATCTTTCTTTTTAAAGTAAATTTACTAATAAAATAAAACTTTTTAAAAAAGCCCCTTCCTGGTAAAACTAGATTGCATTAGCAGATATTTTTATTCCTAGATCTTTTAATTAAAAAAAAAAAAAAAAAACATTTTAGGTTCAGTGCATACCATAGAGTTTAGTGGATACTTAAATAAACTTTAAAATAAAATTGTCCATTATTTCAATTAATATTCTACAGAATAAACATAATCTTTCCCTTAAATTGGGAGTTTAGAGGATATATATATATATATATATATATATATATATATATATTAATAATAGAGGAATATGGAAATTGTCTGGGACTCCATCACAGTAACAGTAATGACTGAATAGCAGGCTGCATGGGGAGACCGGACTGACAGGGAGTGGTTAGTGAGGGACAACCAAATGATTGAATAGCAGGCTGTGAATGAGGGGAAGGCAGTTGGGGGTGATCAGGTCAGCAGGCAGAGTCAGTGAGGGATGATCAGGCTGGCAGGGGGAGAAGTTAGGGGTGATCAGTTAGGCAGGCAGGTGAGCAGTTAGGATCCAGCAGTTCCAGATTGTGATAGGGATGTCCAACTGCCTGGGGATCAGGCCTAAACTGGCAATCAGACATTCCCTGAGGGGTTCCTGATTGGAGACAGTGCAGGCTGGGCTGCGGAGAAGATATATATGGCCAGATTATCATGATCTCTGAACACATAATAATCTGGCCACTCAGTGTGTGTGTCTGTGTGTGTGTGTGTGTGTGTGTGCACTAATATATATATTAGAGGCCTAGTGCATGAATTTGTGCATGGGTGAGGTCCAGCCAGCCTGGCCAGGGGGAGGAGTCCAGCCAGCCTGGCCAGGGGGAGAAGACATGAGCAGTTGGCCAGCCTGCTTGCTGGTTGAACTCCTGTTCAAGGGTACAATTTACATATTAGCCTTTTATTATATAGGATATACTCTGGCCAGATTATTAAGCATTCAGAGATCATAATAATCTGGCCACTCAGTATATATATAATTTCAAGTTAAAATATACATATATTTTGTATCAGAGCCCAATGTGCTGTTTATGAAAATTTGATCTGGAATGATTTCCTTGTCATTAGACACCTTTGTAAGGTTTGCCCATCCTGTGGAATCAAACAGTTCAAAGATAGTGCCCAGAGCCCGTGGCCTCCACCAGGGGGCTCTTTCATGAAGGGTTTTTATGGCTAAAGCAGCTTCTCTGGGCCTCAGGCTCTTCATCTATGATATAAAGTGAGGGTCCTGGGCCAGGTGATCTCTAGGATACCTTCCAGACCTGCCATGCTAACACGGCATACTGTCCAAGAAGTAAAACAGGAGCCACATGAATACTTTTAAATTTTCTAGAAGTCATATTAAAAAGTAAAAAAAAAAAGTGAAATTAATATTCATAATAGAGTTTAATCAACTAGATCCAAATGTCAACATTTTACCACATAACCAAATATAAAGATATTAATAAGTTTTTTTTATACGAAGTGCTTGAAATCTGGCATGCATTTCACACTCACAGCACCTTTCAATTTTTGCTACATTTCTATCAGAAATACTTTATCTGTATTTAAGTTTCATAGTCTCTAGTTTAAAGTGGAAATATCCAAGATATTCCAAACATATTTAAATAACTACATTGTAAACTTTTAAATAAAATTAAAAGTTTAGTTCCTTCATTGCACTGAGCACATTTCAAATGCAAAAAAAAAACTAACTGCTATATTAGAAAACACATCTCTATAATTTTTTAAATTAGCATGAAAATAGATATATTAAAAAAGACTTTTATAATCATATTTTTCTTCTTAAAATGTTTTTCTTTTGTTATAGATGGTAGAAACTCACCATGGATAACTGCCCCGTGTTTTAAGGCATTCTTAAATGTAACACACACCAGGCAGTCTGCCTGGCTTCTCCGCTATGACACCCCAGCTATAATTAGGGATGACTGATGGTGTTATGAGTGGCTTACCGGCCGCTGCACTGAGGAGATGATGTCCACTCCCAGGCAAAGGGCCAGTTTGTGGAGATGGTCTATATGTGCCTGCTTTTCCTGAGAGCGACGGAGGCGAACCTGGACATTGTGCGCGTTATCCAGTTCCTTTGGCTGCTCTAGGAACTCCAATTCTCTTGATTTGAGATGTTCAAGCTGGAATACAAAGCATTTACAATTAACTTGTGTTTCATTTTTATGGAGACAGATTTTTTTATATATATATTTTATTGATTTTTTACAGAGAGGAGGAGAGAGGGATAGAGAGTTAGAAACATTGATGAGAGAGAATCATCGATCAGCTGCCTTTTGCACACCCCCTACTGGGGATATGCCAGCAACCAAGGTACATGCCCTTGATCGGAATCGAACCCGGGACTTTTCAATCCTCAGACCAACGCTCTATCCATTGAGCCAAACCGGTTTCGGCTGGAGATAGATTTTTAAAGCCTATTTCCTATTACATATTTTCCTAGCTGGTCAAATGCTGCCAAGTCCATCTATAATTATTAGTAGTATTACCAAATAAGAGTTACAATGCTGCCCTAACCAGTTTGGCTCAGTGGCTAGAGCGTCGGCCTGTGGACTGAAGGGTCCCAGGTTTGATTCCAGTCAAGGGCCTGTACTCTGGTTGCGGGCACATTCCCAGTAGGGGGTGTGCAGGAGGCAGCTGGTCAATGTTTCTCTATCATCAATGTTTCTGTCTCTCTATCCCTTTCCCTTTCTCTCTGTAAAAAGTCAATAAAATATATTTTTAAAAAAGAGTTACAATGCTGCAAAATCTAGAAGGTAAACCTGAGGGGCTAATGTTGTTTTCTTTCTATTAAAGAAGAAAACACTCTTTTTTGGTTATAGTCTAAAACCTTAGGAATATCTAGGTCTATGACCTGAGTAAGTTCAGAGGCTGTTTTAAAGAGATACCAATACATCTCTATTTTCTGTTAATAAAGGCTATTAACACATTGCAGACCAGTAGTTTTACTGCTGGCTTTACCCAGTGGCCAGATAAGTTTCTGTTGAATGATTACAAAAAATGTTTTACATAAATGTTAAAGGCACACTTTAAAATTAAATATCCATTGCATTTTGAAGTTATTTATTACATGTTCTTACAAGTTAATAGCTTTCTAAAGTATGATACTTTATAAAACACTGTGCAATATGAAGCGAAAATTCTCGTGATCCGTCTACAATGAATTTTACTGCATACTCTATGCTGTCAGGTACCTGAGATACAAAAAAGAAAAAAAATAAAATTTGTTTTCAATTCAAATTCAAATTTCAACTCAAAAAGCTTACGCTTGAGTTTGGGTTAAAAATCGTTAAAAATCAAGATGCTACAATGACAGATAAGTGGAGTAACTAATGAGAGTTCTAGAAATTTAGAAGAGAGGAAAGTCAGTCCAAGCGAGGAAGATCTTTGGCAGGAGAAGCAGGGTTTAGAGAGTCAGGAAGAGAGAAAAACGCCTGTCAAGTAATGGCAGCCTGAGAGTCAAAGAGTTGGAGACATTGTGCACCATCTCTGAGGGACAGAGAGGAGCTGTTTGGCTGAAATATAAGGGAGGACAGAGGTACAGTGAGGGAGACCTTGGAGGCCAGATGTGAAAAGCTGCTAATAGAGTAAGCAATGTGGCCTTTACTTATATAATGATTTATATTCTACTTTAGAACGGAGGGTCTTGCAGACATCTATGACAAGGCTCACCTCTTCCTTGACTTGGTGGAACTGGACTGTCTTATACAGGATGTCCTCATAGTCCTGGATCCTCTCTTTCTGTTTTTGATGGAGTTGAATGAGGTCCTTCAGATGTTCGTACTTCTCTTTCACAGGGGCACCTTTGCCATTTAACTCTTCTGATTCTTTTACAATGTATTCGACCTCATCATTCAGTTGCTAAAATGTTGATAACCATAAAAGAAATCCAACTTTCAGAGAGCTCTTTACTTAATAATGGACTATATGAAGATCTATATAATCAATCATTCTCTCATTTGTTAACAAAAACTTCTGTGGGCCTCACCCCCTCTCTCCTGTAAATTCAGGTATTGTGTTTAATATTAGGAGTATATTATTCCATCCCTATCTTCTTAGGTTTTTTTTTTTTTGTATTGTGAGAAATGAAAAAAAGTATATAAAATTTAGGTGATGAAATGAAAGGTCATATATTTCTATAACTCACCAAATATTCTAGTTGTCTGCTAAGTAAATGTGTTTCATAAATAGTTCTTAAATATATTTTCATTGATTTCAGAGAGGAAGGGAGAGAGACGGAAACATCAATGATAAAAAGAGAATCTTTGATCAGCTGCCTCCTGCATGCCCCCTATTGATGATTGAGCCCACGACCCAGGAATCAAACCTAGGACCCCTCTGTCCACAAGCTGATACTCTATCCATTGAGCCAAATCAGCCATGACCAGATGTTTTATGAAGCCATGAGCCTCTCTGATATTTAGAATCAGGTGGTCTGGTAAGAACACCAAAAGAAACAAAGTATAAAAATATATTAGGGGAATTGCTTGTCCTCCTGATTAAAGAATGATCAGAATGAACCACAGCTGAGTAGCACAGCTAGCTATGCTGCTTAAAAAGTGGCCGCCTCTGAATCCACAAATAGCCACCTCAATTAGGGAGGGATAAACTGCCTTCCCTTTTACCCAGCACTACTCATACATCCCTCATATAGTTCCAGATCCTGGGGTAGAATTTGCAAAGCATGGACTACTCAGAGAGGAAGCTACTATAATTTTGGATCTTACAGCAAAGATAAAAATAGTGAAAATGATTTAGGCTAAGGAAATAATTTGCAGAAGAATGACCTAATAAGGGTCTTCAAGTTTAAATCAAGCAGGTGGGCATCAAATAATATGCATATCACAGAGACAGAGCTAAAGAAGCTAGACAGAAGCTAATGTAGAGGAGTTTGCACATACGCACACTCTTGCATGTGTAGGGCAGATACACACAAGCACATACAAAATGCAAATAAGCGTACAACACAGGGCACATCCATAAACCTCATATATAGGCTAATTGGATTTTCTAAGAGTTCACTGTGGGCTACAACGTTTGTGTGTTTGGGGGAGATGGGGGTGAGGGGTTTGGGGGTTGATTATATACTATGAAGGTTTGTGGGAAGTTTATGTAAATTAATATTCTGTAAAAGAACCCTCAGTCTTCTAATTCTGGGGTTCTTTATAGCCAACACTTACAACGTTTTGACAAACAGAAGCACAGGTATCTTAACTTTGTAATCCAGTCGGGAGGATTGCATGCCTGGTGACCATGTTTGGCAGTTGTCCTGAGTTTAGGAGTGGCAGCAGGTGGGGGATGGAATGCATTAGCAGCCAGGGGCTGGGAGCATGACTCGTGGTTTTATCTCTCCCATCCTGAGGGCTCTCAGAGGGAAATCGGTGAGCACAGCAAAATTCCTGGGAAGGCGGTAGGCGCCAAAGAGTGGAAACAGTGACATCACTTAGGACATTTCAGGGGCAGAGGGCAGCTTAGCCTCTGTGTCAGCGGGTGCCCATCCTTGTTCAGAGATGACTCTAACCCTTATAAAATGACCACAGTGCATTTAGGTATGCTGAATACATTAATAAGAAAATATTAAAATCATCTAAGATAAGACTACCATTAGGACATTTTACAGCCCAAATATTTGTGTATCATTAAATACAAAATAGTGCAGAAAAAAAAACACACATAAGAAAAGCGTGTTTTTAAGTGGATTTTTAGACAAGCAATGCTTTAAAAAAAAAAAGGTAATTCACCAGTCTGTTAAAATTAATTAGGTAGACTGCAATCGAATGGTTAAAAAATGTTTTCCATTCACCCAAGTCCATCCGTTTGTTGCTTTACCTGGAACTGAGGCTTCATTGCCTTCCAGTGTTTCCTCAGACCTAGAATAGTCTGGAGGCTCCCACCAAGGTCAAGTGCGGACACAGGCATGAGTGCTTCCTGAAGAAGTTTTAAGTTGTGAGTAGTCTGAAATAAACATGGGATGGTTAAGCGTATGTTTTCTTTGCCACCATCAGCAAATACACTATGGTCATTCTGGTGATGACATGGTGTGTCGTCAAACTTTGCAATCCCATGAAAATACTCATGACCTCAAGTGAGCTCCGGGTTCTAAACCCCATTAATGAAGAAAAGCATAAGCCCTCGGTTTCCCTTCCCTCTTTCGGTCTTATTGTGGTAACAAAGACATAACACGGCTGAGCATTTTAACCATTTCTAAGTTGCAGTTCGGTGGCATTAGCAATCACATGGGTGTGCAACCATCACCACCGTCCAGCCCAGAACTTCTTCTTCATCCCTAATGAAGCTCTGCACCCATCAGACACTAACTCCCATTCCCGCCTCATCTCAGCCCCTGGTGACTTCTAGTCTGAATGTGACTACTCCAGGTACTTCACATAAGCAGAATATCATATTCATCCCTTTGTATCTGACTAATTTCACGTAGGATAATGTTTTCACGGTTCCTCCATGCTGTACCATGTGCAATGGTTTCATTTCTTTCTTTCTTTTTCTTTTTAAATAACAATTTTTTATTAAATTATTATCTGTGTACATATCTTACCATTGCCCCCCCCCCATACAAACCCTCCCTCCCCAGAGTTTTGTGTCCATTGGTTGTACTTATATGCATGTATACAAGTCCTTCGGTTGATCTATTCTTCCCCCCCCCCCCCAGATCTCCCTTCCCTTCCCGCTGTAATTTGACAGTCTGCCTGTTGCTTTACTGTCTCAATATCTATCTTCTGAAGACTGAATGTCCCCCACTGCGTGCTCCCTCACCTTTCTCAGTTGCTCTTTGAACGCTTCCCACTGCTGTTTCACCGGCTTGCTTGCAGCGGCTCTGAGTCGCCATGCCGTCCGAAGGCGGCCGAGTTCTTCCCTTTCTGCCTTCTGACTTTCCATAGTGTTCTCCGTCATGTGCACTTTATTTTTCACATTTAATATTTCACTCTCTTTTGCCTGTTAAAATTAATAATCCACATAATGGCTTTTCTTTCCCAAGAAATACAACATCTTTCCATATAGCTACTCTAGGAGGCAATCACGATCACAACCAAAGCAGAGCAGGGACGGTTCTAATAGAAAGGCAAGCCAGGAGCGTGCCTGCTCAGGGACCTGGCTAGGCTCTCAGAACCCATGTTCCCTGCGTGGGCACCAGGTCCTGAGTACTCCAAGCACCCAGTGCTGCTGGAGTCACCTGCTGGAGTCTATTTCCTGGGGTTCAAAAGAGTGACTGGATAAGCTCCTGGATACCCAGAAATGTTAAAGTGAAGATTACCTTAATGCATACGTTTTAAAGTGTATTCTGCCTTTCATTTTAACACTCTCAACAGCAGATGTCACAACCTCGGTAACACGGAATAGGAGAAGGCAAATTGCTCTGGGCTATTTTTTCTTAAACTACTCCATTGTATATATTACAACGATTTTAAGTTTCCCAGTTCCTCAGGCTACTCCCTTTTACACGTATCTTTATTTATGTATGTCTATTGTGCAACCAGAAGTACAGTATCTAAGTTTAAAGACTTCCCTTAGCAACTTCTAGATGCCCTGGCTAACTGATTTGAAATCTTTTAAACAATGGTTTTAAACAAGGGGAAATTTAATTGGAGGAAGAAAGATAAGGGAGGGAAAGAGTAAGATCATGTGCTATTTTATGCACAAACATGGAAAAATACAGAAGAATCTTTGTTTGGCAAAACCATGATTTTTACTTTGATGACCGGCTGTTCTCAATAAATCCTTGACTTTCTAAGGAGCAAATGTACATGGATTTTTATAATGACAATGGCAACTAATTATCTTTTTAAAAGTCAAGGGACCTCTTAGATTGTAGTCAGAAGATGGTGTCATAAAATTGTAACAGGATATTTTAACAGGATATTTTTAAATAATAAACCATCTTATTTTTAAATTAATTTAAATAGCATTGATATGGCCTATTTATATTTTTATATTAATTCAGACATTATAAAAACCCAATTAATTGTTAAAAAAAAAAAAAAAAAAAACACACGATAATTGCAGGCCCTAAAGATATTTTTTTTTGCCCATGAATTTGGGGATCTAGGAATCAAATGATATGTTCTGTAATTATGATTAAAAGATGCTAAATATTATGAAATATATTTGATAATTTCAGCCAGATCCAGCCCAAATCATAATTTTAATCTATGCTATAAATAAAGACTGGATATCTTTCATCTTTTATTAAGAAACTACTGATCAAAATGTAATGTAATACACAGTTTCATGTAACTGTGGACCTTGCAGCATGCCAATGACAGCTATACTCAGCAGGGAGTGATGGTCTGAGTGAAGTCTGGAAAAAGGAGAGATTTAGCAGCATTTGTTGATGTCTGGCTGGCAGGATCCAGAAACAGTGATTATGTACTTGGCAGACGTAAGTGTTTTGACCTCTCAGGAAGATTAATCTACAGGAGGTCTAGTTAGTAAACATCCTATTCACTCTACTTCTGTGGAAGGGCATGGCAAACTTTGCCATAACCTAGCCCAACAGGGCACTCAATTCTCAATTTTCCATTTATATGTAGGCACAAAAAATGCTCTTCTGATATCTTTTTTTTTTTTTTTTTTTTTAGATTCCTTGATAACAGGAAGGCTATGCCCCAAATAACATCTTTGCGTTTACCACTATGGATTTGTAAACTGGCACTTTTATCAAGATGTCTGCCAGATTTCTCACTTAACTCAGCTTCTTTAATCTTGATGACTTTTAGATGAACTGAAAAAATTTTTAATTTCCAGCTTGAAAATATGAGCCACGGCAGCCCAATCAAGAGCGCAACACTGGGCGGAAAATGCCAGCTGGCATTCTCCCTTCTTAACAGCCAAACTGGTTACCACATTTCCACAATAATGTTTGTTTAAAAGCCTAATGCTCCAAAAGATATGAGAATAAAAAACGTGTTTCACTTGCTTTACCAACAATTCCCTCCCTCAGAATGATGCTGAACCAATGAAGTTAACTATTAGTTGGTCCATAATTCTTATCAATAAGGAGGAATTTATTTATCATATGACAGTGGTAAGGAGCTTAGGGTAAAGTATTCATTTTTTAAACATAATACCTGACATTTGATAAATTTTCACTAGTCCTACCAAAACAGGACTACATAACTGGAAAGCAAGAGAAAAAGTAGACAACTCAGATCCAGATGCAGGAATTAGCTAACACACACTTTAAATGCTCATGATTAATACAGCTAAAAAAGTATCCAACTGGTGTTGCTCAGTGGTTGAGTGTCGACCTATGAATCAGGAGATCACTGTTCAATTCCAGGTCAGGGCACATGGCCCGGGTTTTGGGTTCAATCCACACTAGGGGGTGTGCAGGAGGCAGCTGATCAATGATTATCTCTCATCATTGAAGTTTCTCTCTCTCTCTCTCCCTCTCCCTTCTCTGAAATCGATTCAGATATATGTATAGCAAAGGTGGAGAATGAGAATGAAAGGATAGGAAAGATAATTTAATCAGCAACTGAAATCTAACTAGAGAGAAGAGAGAGAGAGAGAGAGAGAGAGAGAGAGAGAGAGAGAGAGAGAGAGAGAGAGAGAGAGAGAAAGGTGAAAGACTCATGGACACAGACAACAGTATAGTGATTACCAGAGGGAAGTTGGGGAGGTAGAAGAAGGTAATGGGGCATTAAAAGGTGATGGAAGGAGATTTGACTGGAAGTGGTAAACACAATACAATATACTGATGATGTATTATTGAATTGCATACTTGAAATCTGTATAACTTTATTAACTAATGCCACCCAATAAATTCAATTAAAACAATCAAGTGGAAACTACAGGACTAAAAAGTAAAATTTCTGAAATGAAGTTAGTAATAATTAAGCAAAAAATGCAATTTGCAAATATTTGAATTCACTTAAGAGTGCGAATTAGAGAAGTATACAATCAAGAGGTGGAAGAATATATACTGAACAAAGTAAAAATGTAAAAGATAAATAAATGGTAGGTAGGTAGGTAGATAGATAATAGATGTTCTAAATATTCCAAATGAAAAACAACAATTGTTTTTACAAAAAGCACCTGGATAACATAAGAATATGGGCAAATTGCTTAGCAAGTTTCCTCTGATGCTTAAAGATAGTATAAGATATGTCAGAACTGTTTCATGAATATTTTGTTTCCACACAAATTGAACAAGCTTGGCTTTCAAACAACAAAGATTGAAACAAAGAAGATAATGTCATTCTCACATGATTTTTAAATTAAGAAACTCAAGCCTTAGGTCTTGAACCAAAAAAAACAAAGAGAAAATTGCAGTTGAAAGTAGATGAGGGTAGTTAGACAAAACCTAACTCTTCCAAGTGAATTCAGGCTCCAGACTGAGATTAATCACATTCCAGAGTACGGAGAAAATTGTAGATGTCAGTTATCTTTGCAAGTCTACAGAAAATAGGAGGCGGGCCAGGCAATTAGGGAAAGAAAAATGCCTTGATTTTCAAAGCGGGGAGACTGGGCTATAGAGTTTACAGATTGGAAAGCTTTACAGTGAAAGCCGCGCAATAAGTTCATCATTGATCAAGCAGTTTGTGAGCACTTTGGAAAGAATCTCTTGCTCACTATGAGCCAACCTGATTTCTGCCAAATTATTTTCATGCAATTGATAGGATATTAGGTAGATTAGAATTAAACCCAGGGAGAGATGCTAATGTAGTAGATAGCAGATGCAAAATTAGTTTGACAAGATGGAATCATGGGTAAAGATGAACAAGATGACATTGAATAGAAATAAATATAGAGGCCCACATTTGTATGTAAAAGATAAATACCTAACACAGATATAAAATGGGAGAGACCTAGCTTGGCAGGAATTGTAATAAAAATTCATGGGAGTTATATTCAATCACAAGTTTAATATGAACCAGCATAGTGAAGTCATGGCTAAAAATAAATGCATAATCTTAGGACTCATTAGTAAAGAATGATGTCCACTTTGTTGTACTCTGTGTTAAAGTTGCCCTTTACTTTTGGGTTACACTTTATGAATAGCTTTAACAAACCATAAACATTTTGGAGATCAGGATGGAGAGAGAAATGAAGCTGTCTCATAACTGACAAAAAGGATTTGCATGTGGTTTGCTGGAGAAAGGACTCCCAGATTAGATATAGCAATTATTTGCAATGTTTGAAGGACTTTTTCATATGTAAGAGAAATCAAATATGAATAGTCTTCCCTTACCTCGTGCAACTACAGAGGGTTAGAACCAGGTATGCAGTCAGATTTGACTTAACGTTTTTTAAAAAATGTTTTCTAGCAGCTCTTATTTTCTAACAATGGAATGAGCAGTTTCATGAGGAAGATACTTGAAGGAGAAGGGGATTAGCCATCTTTTAAGAATTCTGTAGAGAACTTCATATGGGTCAGAGGTTGATAAAAGGATTCTAGAGTATTTTATAGACATAAGTGGACCACTAAAGTTTAGGATACATTTGTAAATATGACAGAGCTTCACTACAGAAAGATATGCTATAGGAAGAAATTCTTCAAAATGAAGATTCAGCCTAGATGTTAACCTGAGCCACTGGAAATGTTGTCAGGACTTCGTTGAGGCTCTCACCATAACTTAGAACTCTAGGGTGAACTTCCATGTAATAATAAAAATGTTGCATTTGGATTATAGCCAATCTTTCTTGTAGATAGTTATAACTTACGGGAAGTGTAAGACTAAATAAACACAGATGTGCTAGGCTTTGGCACTGCTCTAGGTTGAATGAAGCTAAAAAAAAAAACTTTCTAAGCCCACCCTGACGATGGATAGTTATAGTTCTGAATTTATAATTTTGACTTTGTCAAGTAATCCTTGCAGAAGATGTGACTCACATAATGTTATTCTCACCATATTTATCAAATTAAGGAACTCAAGCCCTAGGTCTTGAACTAAAAAACTCCTTTTTAAGAAGAGCTGCCATTGCTTCTCAGCTGAGTCAGACCAGTGCCTGGCTTCCGCAGAGTCCTCTTCCTTTCTCGGGCTTTCCATTTGGTAAAACTCCTTCAGACGCTCACATTGCTCCTCCACCTGAGAGAAAGAGAGAGAGAAAGAGAAAACACAAATCCAAGAGAAGAATACTTGCAAACATTTTTAAAGAAAATGACACAAGATTCCGATAAAAGCCTTATGCAAAAATTAAATGGAAACTACATTTCAGACCTTTTTTTTTTTTTTTTTTTTCAGAGAAAGGAAGAGAGATAAGGGACGGTGGGAAAGAGAGAGAGAAAAACATCAATGCGAGAGAAACATCAACCAGTTGCCAATCTTACATGCCCCAGCTGATAACTGAATCTCCAATTTAGGTATGTCCGCTGACTGGAAATCAAACCCACATACCCTTGTGGTGCACAGGATGATGTTCCACCCAACTGAGCCACTGTGGCCAGGGCCAGGATTCTTTAAATAACTTAATTTATTAAAAACGATATGAGAATCTATCTAAGTTGTTTACAGACCGGATTACTACTGGATAATAAATTGAACTAACAAGTTTATTATCTATAAGACCTACTTACTGTGACCCAAATCATATTTATATATTTTGTGTAATGTGTGTTTTGCAATTGGGGACAATTTATGTCAAATACTGGTGTGATAATATTTAAAGCTGAGTTTTATAATTCAGAGGAAAGCTAGACAAGAAATAAATGAGAAAATAAATATAAGTCAGTGAAATATTAGTAACTCACTATTTACTTTGAATCAGTGATAAACCTGAATGAGAATACAATTACTAATTTTTGGTATAAATATTAATATTCAACTGCTTCCATGACCAAATCAATATACCCACAATGCTACGGGCTTAGTAAGGAGGGACCATTTTTGAATTATTGGTGAATTGAAACCACAGGGGTGTGTGTGTGTGTGTGTGTGTGTGTGTGTGTAATTTTCATAGGAAAAGCATGTTCAAAAGTGAGCACAGGCAATGACTTTGGGACCCTCAATACTTCAGGAGCAGGGAACCAAATTAGGAAAAAGAAGAAGGAACAGATGAAGCAGACAGAGTCATTCCACTTATGTGAAGTATCCAAACAAGACAAGTCTATAGAGATAGAAAGCAGGTCAGTCCTTGCCCAAGGCTGGGAGTGGAAACGAAGATTAACTACAGAGTGCACTGGGGCTACTTTTGGGATGATGAAACTATCCTAAAACTAGAATGCAGTGATTATTGCACAATTCAATAAATATAATAAAAATCATTGTACTCCAAAATAGATGAATTGTATGCTATGTAAATTATACTTAAATAAATCAGGGGGGAGAGGGTTTAAGCCAAAGGAAGTAAGAATAATTGGATTAAACAAATGTGGCAGAGTGACCGAAACCGGTTTGGCTCAGTGGTAGAGCGTCGGTCTGCAGACTGAAGGGTCCCAGATTCGATTCCTGGCAAGGGCATGTACCTGGGTTGCGGGCACATCCCCAGTAGGGGGTGTGCAAGAGGCAGCTGGTCGATGTTTCTCTCTCATCGACGTTTCTAGCTCTCTATCTCTCTCCCTTCCTCTCTGTAAAAAATCAATAAAATTTATTTTTTTTAAAATGTGGCAGAGTGATTAAGCAGAATGAAGACAGAAAATAGAGATTTCATTTATCAATCAGTAAGTAACTTAAAAGGACATTTTCAATGGAGTGAAGAGGTAGCAGATGGCTGGATTAAATTGCTGTAGGATGAGGGCTGGGAAGGGTGCACAAGTAGAGACAAAAAATGTCATCTTCCCATTGTCAAGTCCAGATGTAAAGGGAAAGAAAGTATAGAGTGGTTGCCTTCATGAGGGCAAGACCATTTGGGCATAACTGTAGACCAAAGGCAAGGAAGTAGTGGAAAAAGCAAATTTGCAACATTAGAGGAGGTTAGTACAGCTAGATTCTGAAGGATGTGGGAACATACAGGGAGGGACTAATTTTCTCTTAGTGCTGGACAGAAGTAGGGACTTGACTTTATTGGCGACAGTGGAAGAGGGGCAAATAATCAATTGGTTTGGTTTGGAAGTCCAAGAAATCAAGGCAGTTAAGTTCAATGGACTCTTTGTTGTTATTGTTACATATGAAGTAAGGGCACCAGCTGAGATTTAAGTATGGAAACTGGGGTAAGATGTTTGAAAAGTGCTTCTGAATGAGTGCCAATAGGGAGTATGTGGGAGACCCAGCTGAGCCAGAGACCCATCAATTTGTAACAGCGCCAATCAGCACAATTGTACAATCAATTGTATGATTTTCTGCAGCAGTGTCTGGAAGCTTGGGAAGAAAAGTTGAGTAAACAGAGTGTTGGATTAATCTAGTGTTGGGAATTGGCAGGGCTCCTCAGGGTGGAAGGCAGGAAGTTGAGGGCATGGAGAATGGAATGCAAATGAGTAACCATGAGCTGGTGAGGAAAGAAGGAAAACCTGAGGGGGAAGGAGAGTGACAGAGTCGGAGCACTGCCAACATTAGGACAGAAGGCTCTGCCAGTTAGGAAAACCAATTAAGTGAAAGCTGGGAAGAGGGAAGAACATAGGTTCTTCTGAGGAGTGGTGTTTGCAAAGCTAAGAGTTCAGCCCTAAACCCACAGCTCTAGGGGCCAGGGTAGGATATGGAAGCAGAAACTGAACCAGAAATCAAGAAGGTATGATTTTGGCAATAAAGTTGCAGAAAACAAACACTTCTTTGTACCTTTTCCACCATTTCTAATCCTGAGTAAAAACATTCATCAACAAGATAATGCTGTTGGTTGTAATACCTCTGCTGAACCAAGAGAGTTTGGAGCTAAATCATAGAAATTATAAAAGATGAGTGAAGATGTAGAAAGGAGGCAGCATTTACCCACGATTTCCAGGGACTTGGCATGGCCTTCCATCAGAGGGGCAAGAATTCAGAATATTATAGACCAAGAGCTGACAGAGGAAGGAGGATGGCAGGATGGGAGGTGAGAAGATGGAAATCTAGCATGCTAACTAACTTTGGTTGGCTTTACCTCGGAGTGACCCTGCTGGCTCTGCCCCCACTAAACCAGTGCCTGCCATCCTGAAGAGAGCGGGGTCCGCATGAGCCTGGTGCACTAGGGCCAGAGTTAAATGAGGTGGGACCCTAGCATTATCTTCAAGCACCCGGGACCTCTGAGAGACGGAATCCTAGTCTAGTAGAGGGAATTTTACAGATTGTCTAGTACAAACCTGTCAAAGATTGCCTCAGAAGAAGCTCTCTGAAGCAACTTGTTAAAAGGGATCACGCAAGATAGACCTAAGCTTGGACCTTCCGATTCTGTGTCTGTTAAATGAACCATGTGAATTGCTTAGGCATTTAAAGAAAACCATGCAGAAAACACACGCTTCTTTGTACCTTTTCCACCATGGTTTAGAAGATGACTTATTTTTAAATAATTTTGTGCTATCTTTAGAATAGTGTAAATATTTATGGGCCAAAGTTAAAAAGTATTCTAACACAACCACTTTGCTTATTTGCATGTATATCTACACATACACACTTGTATTGTGCTTTTGTAAAATGACTTTCTGTTTAGTTTTGTATGGTGCCCTGGTGAATCAAGGACCCATAAGTGAGTACATGCTCTGGGGTGGACGATATGGGACAACCCACTGGGGCTTCCCTCCCCATAGGACGCAGGAAGCTGACAGGGGCCACCTTGTTGATAAAGGAGAGCACACAGGTACTGTACCTCCTCTGATGACTTTAAAAATGCCACATAGGTCTGCAGGACCTGGGACCTGGAGCCGATGCTTTGGCCAAGTATGTTTAATTCTTCCTCCAGCCATTTAGCTTTAGAAGAAAGTGATGCCACTTCATCAGGTTCGAATTCATTTTTCTCTGTCATAAGTTTCGTGGCTGCTTCTAATTCATGTGATGCTTCCTATGAAAGCAAAGCGTGGAGGGTCAGAAGCTGACAGGGGAATCATGAACATTCACATTTCATTACCTTCTGCACATCCATCTATAACGGTTATTAATTGAACTTGTAACCAAGACTCTCCTGAATAAAAGGAAGGCACAACTTTCCAAAATTAAAAAAAAAGTGTCTTAAAATAGAAACCGTCTCAAAGTACTTTTCAGTCTATCAGCTATACTTTTTTTTTTAGAGCATTCTAAATTCTGTCACAAATAGAAGAAAAGTTGTTCAGTATGAAAGGTGGTAAAACAAAATGGCAAAAACACTTTAAATAATTTAAATAAAATAAGTATAGACCAGAATTGTTTTTGAAATTAACAACAGCTCTAGCAAATTCTTAAAGTAATGTTGTTATGTACAAAATGGCAAGTTTATATAAATTATTTCCTCATTTTTTAATTTATAAAAATGATATCAATTACACAGTTGTTTGAATTGCTATCTAGAAGGATTTTTAAACAAGTGTAGGGAAGTATTAGATATGGGGTCTAAAAGCCTAGAGAGTCTGTGAATTTGCCTTGCTTAGGGTCACTCTTCTGTGCTTTATTTTGAGTGCAGTTTGTGGCATGTGGGATCTAACCACGGACGAAGTGAATGAGTGAGTACTGTAGGCATTACAGATACCATTGCCACAGAAAGCCACATAAGATGTCATGTGGTACCATGTTAGGAATCAAGCAAAAATGAATAAAAAAGCTTCATTTTCATTTGCAGCAAGAAAGGATGGCTTCCCGCTTGTGTTTAATATGCTTCCCAAGTCCTCCACTGAATGATGGCGATTTTAATATATGAGTGCTGCTTCCCGACTGCACTCGGGAAAGGAGGAAGCAGGGAGAGTTTCTTCCTTAATTCTAGAAATTTTGGAATATAAAAATGAATTCAGACATATATTTTATTTTAAGCATTCGAAATAATGAATTACAAACACTTCATTAAACAAATGGGCTTGTCTGTGAGCTGTGGGTGCGGGTGCCTCTGTGAAAGAGGCTATGCTGCCGAGGACCAATGGAAAGGCACAGCCACCCCTGCTGGTTGGGGGAGCCAGGGCCACAGATGACTCACTTTCCTAAACACCTGGGCCAGGTCTGGAGCTACCAGCAAGAACGTTTGAACCTAAGTCCCATGGGAAAGGGGAAAGGGGGTTAGAGAGGGTGCTAGGAAGAGGAGGGCAATTTCTGTCTCCTAAGTCTTAGTGTGCAGATAAGATTTGCCTCCTGGAATCTTGTATTAACACAAGTGGCTTCTGGCAATTTTCTTTTGTAACTCACTCTAGTAGAAAATCACGAATAGTCTTATAAATGCAATCTCCCTGCCTCCTCTGGATCCCCAAAAGGAGTTTCTAACATCTTTCAGGCCAGGAAAAGGGGCTAAAATGTTGAACTTCAATGAGCTCAAATTCCCTAGTAAGTGCATGTTTAAAGATACGCTTAAAAGTAGGAGTTTTTAAGACATTATTTACCACAATATTAATTTAGAATTGCAGTCCTCATGAGAACTAGGAGTTTTATAGCTACCAGATATAAAGAAATCATCTTAACAAAATCATAACCATGATAATAATATTCATTGTATTTACCTTAGCTTGGATATCTAATTCCAAATATTTACGCAAAATCTTCTCTGACTCAGAAAGGCTGGAACCGACATCCATGGCATTGGAAAGTACTAAACTGATTTCCTGAATTGACATTTCCACCTATAGGGGAAAAAGAGCATATTGTAACCTAGGGAACATGTATTTGCATATGCATAGAGAAGGTAAATATTACTCTACACATTCCCATTATCCTTTAATGTAAATCAACATTAAGCTAAAATAGTTTTAAATATTTTAGAATTTCATATTTAAATTAGTAATGCTGCTCTTTATATGGGGTAATGCTGCTGATCCACCAGTAGAGGGTGTATGTTTTAAAATATTTCATTATACTAGTAGCAATGAGATAAAAAGCAATCATCCATGCCCTCTTGAGAATTTGTTGTCTGTATTATCTAAACAGGATAATGTACTTGCCAACACATATGCAGAGGTGAATGTATCTAATTAATTCACAAGCATCCATTATAAGTTGAACGGGGCCCAATCTACTGGCACATTTTTAGGTAGAGGTCTAGAGTATGCGTATTAGATCATCTTATGGGTTACTAATTTTAGGGCTGGAGGATCCTGAGGCAGCACCAAACCCTATAAATGTAATAATAAAATGGGAACACACTTAGGTGATGTAATTGATGAATGTGAAGAATGTACACATGAATAAATGAATAAAGTGACCTTTAAAGGTTTTATTCCATTCAAGTCACTGCCTTCATCTGGACTCTCACCAGAGCCCATACTTCCCAGATCAAATGGGTTCTGAACTGGCAGTAAGACAATAGCAACAGCTGTGTGGGTTCCTCATGTTTTCCATCACCACCAACTTAGCTGAGTCTCAAGCTCTAGGGAATGTGGCTCCACAGCTGCCATCATATTTGGAATCTCCCTGGAACCCTGGCCTCAGAACAAGGCTCAAATTCCCAAGTTTCTGGACCAATAACAGGTGGGGTGACAATTTAAATAGGGACAATGGTTAACTAATGAACTCTCCTGTGAAGTCTCCTAATTCTACTTAAGTTAGGCATATAAATCCATTGTATTATAAGAAATTATTATAAAATTTTGAGACATTAATATCATTGAGATATTATTAGTTTTTGCTGTATATATTAGTTTTACCTATATACCTACAGGTAAGTAACTTTTTATTTAGTCAAATAGTAGCTGCCTGGTTTCATTCCTTTTTGAAAATAGAAATTAAAATTCTCACACATCAAGACACTGCAGAAAGGATTTCCAAGTGTGTGCTAATATTCAGAATAACCATGTCCATTGCACTGGCCTCGTTCAATAAAATACGATGATGGCAATTTATTCCTGGAACTCCTACAACTCACCATTTTTGTTATGTATCGAATGTCCTCACGTTCTATGGTTCCATGTTAACTAAAAGTTGCGCATATTGGAACCATGCAGAAAGTCATGTAAATCAAGGACACCATCAAAACATGCACATGGTTAGAACTGCTTTTGTGTATACATGTTCGTGGCTGGGTGGCAAGAAGGGTTACATATATAGTTTTGGCACATGGGGCAGGGATGGATGATGAACAATGGTCAATTGCAACTCTATTCTGTCCAATTGTAAAGCCTGGCATGGGCCACGAGAGAAGCCTAAGGAGACATCCCCCTGTTCTCCCTCAGGCCCACATGTGCGATTACCACATCATCTATTATCATCAAACAAGGGGTTCATCTAAATTGTATCTTAAGGAGGACATATTTTATGAACTACCTTCCTCAGGTAGCCCTCCACCGAGGCTGCTAACTGTTGTTTCTTGAGAGCAAACTCCTTGTGCGCTGAACACTGTCCGGTCAGATGATCCACTTGTCTCTGGATGCATCCCATCATCTCATGGACGCCGGTCATCCCCCGGGAGCTGAGAGGAACAGCCAGCTGTTAGTTCATTCCACCCCCATCTAGAAGCCCCAGGGTCAGGGAACATCTGACAGTAGATTTGCTCTTTCATGAGAGGTACAAGTTGGTAAAAGTTATCAAGCTTCAGGATAACCAAAATTTTAGTGGCGATGGTCCTAGTACAGAAAAGAACAACACCAAATTATGTTCCTTTATTTAAGTCAGTCCGTCCTGAGGGAAAAGATGAGTTGTGGGTTTTACAACCAGGTATAATCTTCTCTAAAGGTTTATTTTTCCTATTCTAAGGATTTTAAAGATTTTAAAAATTTTAAGGAGAGATTTTAAGGATTTTAAGGCAAAAAGCACTGTGTGCTTGCCAAGATTTTTCCTGGGGGTGATGTTTTAAAGCTGCATTTATCTAAAGGAGCTCTTTGAATAGAAATGTGGATCAGCCAATGAACAAAACATTGGATAAGCCAATAAGGTAAAATATTGATGTAACACTAAGGCCCTTGTTCTCCACGATTATGAATGCTCAAGGCTGCATCCATTAGAAGAAAACCAAGTTATCACCAACAATTGGGAATCTAATGTGCTTGTTCACAGAAAAGAAACCCAGCCTCACATTGTCATTTCTCATGTCACCTGGCCTGGCCTCATGAGAAACTGAAACGTGACATGAGAGTTCATAAAATGAGAATGCCTTTAAAACAAACAGCGTTGGACCCCGTTTGCTGCGTCTGAAGATAGATCAGCAAGTTTCCTCATCATTTCCAACATGGGCCTGCCAGCAATGCAGGACAAGCAAAGAACACTGCTGATGGAATGAGCACTCTGTGCCTTTTCAACCTATTCCTAAGACAGAGCCTCTCCTACTATGCAAGAAGTTGAAGTCTTTCATTTCCTGTCAGTCATTTCCTTCAAATACTGAGAAAGATGAACACGATAACTCTGAAATTTAATTACCCAAAGTTAAAAAGATCTTGGAATGAGGTACAGATTTCAGAAGTTTTACCTCAAATAATTAATTTATGACTCTCCAAAAATGAATTTAATTAGTAATGAAATGAGGGCAAGGACTGAGAGGTAAAGCAGCATCACAGGAATGGCAATGAGGCTGCTAAAGAAGTGAGAGAATCCAACCCAATGAATATGAGAGTCAAGTGCATAATGTGGGTGTCACTGAGTCCCAGAAAAGTTCAAGTGTGGGATCTTATTCCTGACACATAATGTTCCACAAATATTACACTTAACACGATCAGTTTGTCTGCTAATAACTCAAAGATAGTGAAGAGTATAATCAGGAAATCAGGAGAGTTTTAGAAATAATTCTTATGATACTTAAGTCCACAAAATTCTGTAAAAGCAGTGCACTGGTAATGCTAATCATATTTTAACTAGGTTTTAGATGTTGGGACATTATATGCTAAAAAAAAAAAAAAGCACTTAAAAGTCCAATTGTCTTCTATCTTATAGGCTTCAAATTTACTATGGTATATTCAAATCTGGAATGAGAAAGATAAAGAGAAAAGTGAATAAGCACTATAAGAAAACTGTACAGAAAATCAAGTTTGTGAAATAAATGGGTAAACATTTTTTAAACACAATGATCGAGTACTCACTGTGGCAAGTCATTTTTAATGTTTTGAGCCATCTCTTTTTTAATTCTCCTAACTACCCTCTGATCTGGGCATAACTGTCATCCCCATTTTGCAGATGAGCAAACTGAGGAACAGAAAAGCTCGGTAGTTTTCCCAGGTCACAATGAAGTGACCAAGAGGAGACATAAATCAGCTTATCTGTTTTCAGAGTCCACCCTCTTCATCACTTCATAGTACCTTTTCTGGGACTGCTACACATGGTAGAAAGCTGAGGGTATTCTTGCTTTCAAATTTCACTTTCCCTGACTTTGAGTGTTGATGGAAAGAGACTGGCATGTTTTGAAATTGGCTAGCTTCTCTCAGACTGTAGTTTTCAAAGTAGCCACTAGAGGGGCACGGTACCAGCAGAGAGAAAGGAAAAAGGGAAAGAAAACAAAACCAAGCATTCCTTCGGTAAGAATAATGCTCTTTAGCAACTTACAATTAGAATTTTGATAAATCAAATAGGGTATCGCTCCCTCTATCTTTGGAAGGACTATCCATTCTAGATCTTTCAATGACCCAGGAGATTTGGTCTCATTATGTGGTGATTTGTGCCTCATCGGGTGTATCAATCGCATTGTAAATTCTTTACAGGAAAGGACAGTATTCTTTTTCACTCACATATCTCTGCAGCCCTGAGCACATAGCCTTGTAAGTAGTAGGCTAATAAATGTTTTGAAATGAAATAAAATATACTTTGATCAATATTTGAGGGAAGTGAAAACAGTTTTAAGTAACAAGAACACGTGCATAGTCACTGTATAAAAATGCCACTAATAACCATTTTCAGACAATGACCACTTTGCCCTTTGTCCACTAACAGAGGCTTTTGGCTATCCAAAGACTGCCCAGTTTCTTCCTTGATGGTTTAGCATTTATAGTTAGATGGACTGGTACTTCCTTCCTCAATTTCAGGGATGAGAAACCTTTTTCTGCCAAGGGCCATTTGGATATTTATAACATCATTGGCAGGCCATGCAAAATTATCACCTTAAAAATTCTCCTTCTGTATTTGGTCAAACATTTCACTAATTCACGCCTAATGCCTTGTCAGGGCCAGACCTTTGAGGGCCTTATACAGCTCGTGGGCCAGACGGTCCCCACCCCTGCTATTGGAAACCTCAGGGTCAGATTGAATTGCCTTGGTTCTCTATGCATTACTGCCTGTCCACTGTGTACACCACTCTTATATGGGGGCTTAGACAGCTCCCCTCGTATGAGAAATTCTCCGTTATCTTGCCAGCTCCTATTTTCTTCTTTACATCCTCAGCTAGATCATCTCTGTCTGTTCTGGCATTACTCTCTTCCCTTTCCCTGAGTCCCAGAGGGAATATACTAGTATCTGTCACACTCCTAAGCCCAGGGCCACCCCTGTCCTGTGCCTTCTTAGTGAAAACCTAATCTGCAGGTTACAACCTTCCCCAATTCCATCATGTTTAGTTAGAAACTTTCTACACGGATCCCACACTTTTCCTTCGAACATTCCAATCATTTTAAAACATGTAGAGCAGGCATATCAGTGATACTCTCAGAGCCTGTAAAGCAGATGGTTTCGTCAAAGGGCAAATATGACCTCACTCTGCCAGCAATTCTTACATGAGCTGAAAATAAATGCATAGATTTCCACCTGTCACTAAGGAATAATCCTATGAAATAAAAGATGGGATAAGAACTAAGAGCAAGTGAGAGGAACTTGCTGAAAGAAGGGCCCTGTCACTTTGCTCTGATTTGGGAGCAGTGTGGCTGCCGCTTTGGGTGGGAGAGCGGCTGACAGTAGACTACACGTCCAAGTCTAAGGATCTATGGTTCTGTGATTTCACTGGAAATACTGGTTGACCGTTGAACTTTCTCTATAAGAATGGAGGAGATGGTGCCTGTCTATATGGGTGTGGGGTTCATCAGATTATTCCCGATGTTGATTTTGACTTCTTCAAGCATCACTGATACTCGGAAATAACAGACTGAGGTTTTTGCAGATATTTGTTAGACACTCCATCATGGGAACTTTTCCTCCCTTATTCATTGAGGTAGTAAAGGAGAGGGGAGAGGGAAGAAAAATGATGTTTTTTTTTCCCCACCAAAGAACAGAGACATATTGACTTCTGGCTCAAATAGACCATTCTATTTGCTGTATGGAAGCAGTTACCCTGTCTTTGCGTTTGTCACAAATAGGGGTTGGGGGAAGGGAGCAAATCCCAATGTTAATGTGTTCTAATGACTCTTTCCGGAGGACAGCATGTTGCTTCTAAACCTTTCATAAATTACCATTGGCAGCCCATCTGGATGAGGAGCTGAACCAGATGGTAAGCGCTTGACAGCTCACTCTCTCTCATCAGAAGGAATCAGCTGATCACATTTTTCTTCTTGTCCATGGACAAATTATACTTTGAAAAAAGAAAAAAAAATAGATCTTCCTTAGCTTTTAGCTCACTGCTTCTCTTGGCAGGGACCCAAAGAATGTCCCCTCATGTTTATAATTTTCTGTATTTTGGAGGAAACAACTGTCATCCTCTAATTCTCATGTCTACTTTGAAAAAGTACTATTTGTTCTATAGAAGTGAAATGTCTGTTTTCCCATTTTTTTCTGACTTAAGTTATGCATATTGAGAATTCCTCCCTACCAAGCAAATCTCTCTCTCTCTCTCTCTCTCTCTCTCTCTCTCTCTCTCTCTCTCTCTTTCTCCTATTTAATATACACATAACGATAAAGAAACAAAAAGCAGTAGTGGGGCTGAAGTTACAGCATGCCTGGTTTTGGCACAGATGCCTGCAGCGATGTCCCCAAGAGGCCACAGAGACCCATAGGAAGGCTATCATAGCTTGGATTCTACCTGAAATAAGTAGCAGGGAAGGGATTCTCCATCCTTGTAAAAGGAGGTTGAAAAATGTTGTGGTTGAATGAGCAAAGAAATCAGATACAGAAGGGCAGTCAGGAGCCACCTGTTGATCCCCACGTGGTTTTCAGAAACGTATCTCGGAGAGCCAGTGTGTCTCAGTGGGAGCTAATGGGATGCCAATCAAACAACAGAAGACTGCTTCTGGACTGGGGACCCTATGAGTTCAGGTGGAAGTCACTGCAATGCTGTTAAGGATGAAAGAACAAAAAAGAGAGAACAAAACCTAGGAAATTAAAGCAAAACAAACAAACACGTCCCACTCCAGATGAGAGTGCAATCTAAAATTTCAGGACATACAAGAAAAAGACATCCTAAGAAAAGCTACTAACCAACTGAGAGATAAATATGATATACTCTATCTGAAATGAAAATAAGTAGAACAACCTGAAAATGACCACAAATTACCACAAATACAACTGAGATCATCAGAGAGATAAAAGAAAACCCAGCACCCATAATAACAGAAGGAGAAACTCTGAAAC